GACACAGACACACTCTCTCTCTCTCTCTCTTTCTCTCTCTCCTCGAGAAGCATAAGTTGGGGGGAGAAAGCAGTTACTCATTTCTGTACATTCCTACAACAGTAAACTTGCCGGGAGTCAGGCTGCTTCCCTCCCTTCTAGGGGCATCCCCAGCCCTGCCCATCTTCACCTGCTCTTCTGGTTTCTGTCACCCTGTCCCTACCCTCCAGCCCAGCATCACCACCACAGGTCTGTTCGACGACTATTTCCTCATCTCCGCCATGCACGGCTAGCTTGAGCACCAGCCAGAGGAATGTGCCTCCGGGAGAGTGTGGGGTTTCTGCTTTCGCCTCTGCAATTTCCCTGCAGCTCCCAGCCCTGTGAGCCCCAGCTTGCCCACACTGGCCTCCTAGAGGAGGCAGGAGCCCATCCCTCCTCTCCCTCCTATCACTGTCATAAGTGGCTCATGAGTGACTGGTGACCTGTTAGTCCTAGGAAGGTTTGGCTTGGCGCCCATCAAGGCTCCAGCTCCCTGCCCCTGCCACTGACCCCAGGAATGGGCAGGGGAGGAGATGGAGGAACTGAACTGGAACAGCCCTTGGGGGATGGAGTCTGGGCAAGAGTCAGAGGGCCTTAAACCATGCAGAGCCAGGAGGTAGAGTCCAGAGGAGGATACCTGGATCTCTGCTCAATCTCTTCCCACTGTTGACCAACCATAGGCAAGGTCGACTCCTAGGGGTGTTGTGGGAGGCTCAGCCGCAGGCCAAGGTCCTGGCACAGCCCTTATATCCCCTACGGCTTTATCTCCCAGTTGGCCTCCAAGCTGGTCATTTCCCACAGTCCCATGGGAGGCCTATTAGTGAAATTTTCCTCCAGTCACTCCATCCCACCAATCACTCTCAAATGTCACAGCTGAGCCTTGTGAACAAAGTTGATAGCACAGGATAGAGGAGAAATGAGTAGGAGACAAGAAGGCAGCAAGGAGGGAGGGAGATGGCATGAAAGGCCTTGAAATCAAACTGGGAAACTAGCTCCTCTCCCTTCCATCCTGCTGAGGCTACAGGCCCATAGCAGGCACCAGCTGACTGCTCACTGTTCCTGTTCATTTCATTTCCACCCATAATCATTAAGCATCAACTTCACGCCAGACACTGTGCTGGGGAGGGAGAGCCAATCAGATTAGTGTGTTAGGGAGATAAAAGATAATTCCAATAGGATCTGGGGCCCTGAAGATTTGGGACAGTGTCTGCTGCTCAGTTTGAGCTCTCCAGTTTACAGCAAAGTTCCCGGCACTTAGAGTAAATGTTGTTGAATGAATTCAAGATTCCTTGAAGATTCTTGTGGCATTGCATAGTAAGGACTGAGCAAGGCAAGGTTGAGAGTAGCAATCGGGGCAGGAGGTAACAGTGTACAATGGTGTTTAGGAATATGGACTCTGCAGTTAGACTGCCGGAGTCTGGCTGTATTACTTATTAACTGTGTGACCTTGGGAAAGTTACTTCGTCTCCCTGCGACTCAGTTTCCTCACTCACAAATAGGAATTGTTCTGAGGATAAAAAGATGTATATAAAGTGACTAACAGTATTCTGCACATAGTAAATACTGGAAGAGACCATTATTGGGCTAGAACAGTTGCAGTGGGGATGGGGCATAACAGAGAGATGCAAGAGATGCTTCATTGGTTGAATCAACCTGACTTGGTGTGGGAGGAGGAATGTAGGGTATCAGGCTCCTTGCTTAGGCAGTGGTGGAGTTTGGAAACAGGGAGCTGAGAGAGGCAGAGCAGGAGGAGAGGCCTCCTGGGGCAGGAAGGGAATATGAGGTTCCTGTGAAGATCTGGGAAACTATGGGCTCACCTTGTGTAGAGCTCAGCAAAGAGGCCAAAGTGGGGAAAATCAAGCCCAGAGTCAAAGGCTGGTCTGAGAAGCCCCCTTCAACCTCCCACCCTCCTTAGCTATCCATGGGAGCCTCTGCCACCTGCTTGAAGGGAATGGGGGAGGGTTCAAGGACGTCCATGCTCTGGCAGGAGCTCATTGTCCGAGTAGAGTGTATTAAGGGGTCCTGCTGATCAGTTTCCATCATCTGTACCAAGGTGTGGGCAAATGGCTGTGGATATGAGTTTTTCCCCCTTTATAGGAGCTGTCAGTATATTTCAGAGGCAGGACTGCAGAGTGGTAAAGCACACAGGGTAGAAACCACCTGGGCAGAGTCACTCACGGCTCTACCACTTCCTAGTGTGGGACCTTGGGCAAGTCATTTAACCTCTTTGTGTCTCAGGTCCCTCACCTGTAAAATGGGATAACAATAATAACAACCTCATCTCATAGGGTGGTTGTGACAATTCAATCAGTGGATATATATAAAGTATCAAGAACAGGGCCTGGTGCATGTTGACTATTGTTATTATTATTTATCTGTCTTAACACACCTGTCAGGCATTTAATGACAGTCAGTGGAGGGTGGAGGCAGTACCAGGACATGGCATGATTGTCCCCAAGATGATTCACCATCTTGCTTGGATGCGTTTCTCAGACACATTCCCAGTCCTCTGCCCCTTCTAGGCCTTCGCCATGATCAAATATCTGCTGAGCAGTAATTCTACTGGCCTGTCCTCATCCAGGGATTCTGAGAAGGCAAAAACCTGCCCCGTCATCTGCTTTGATGGCAGGCTGGGGGCCTTGCCTGTTAGAGATAGGACAAGCTAGAAATGGGACACATAAAAGATCCACTCCCTATGATCTCCCCAGGCTAGGAGCCAATAGGTAATCGCCCCAGGCCCTCTTCTTAGTCTATCCAAAGAGGGGGAATGAAAAAGAGATGGAAAAAAGAAAGGCAAGAGTAGTGTTGAAGGGGAACATAGATGGGGAGTGGGTTTGGGACACTTTCATTTTCACTGATTTGAAAGACTTTCTTCCGATCCTTGGCTCCCTGAGGTTCCCCCACACCTCAACACAAACATATTCGATTTCCCCCTTTTTTTTCTTTTTTTTTTTTTTGCAATGGAGTCTCGCTCTGTCGCCCAGGCTGGAGTGCAATGGAGTGATCTCGGCTCACTGCAACCTTCGCCTCCCGGGTTCAAGCAATTCTCCCACCTCAGCCTCCTGAGTAGCTGGGATTACAGGCGTGCACCACCATGCCTGGCTAATTTTTGTATTTTTAGTAGAGACAGGGTTTCACCATGTTGGTCAGGCTGGTCTTGAACTCCTGACCTCGTGATCCAACCCCCCCTCAGCCTCCCAAGGTGTTGGGATCACAGGCGTGAGCCACTGTGCCTGGCCTCAATTTCCCTTTTTTGAGTACTCTCCTAGGCAGTCTAGTCTACATTAGAAGAGAAAATAGAATACATACAGAGTATACACAGTACACCGTGGGGAGTACGTGGAGACAGACAACCTGGATTCATGCCCGAGCTCCACCATTTACTAGCTGTGTGACTTTGGCAATTTACTTAATATCCCTGAGCCTCAGTTTCCCCATCTGTAATGTGAGGATAACAGCAGTACCTACTTCACAGGATTGTGGCAGGGATTAAACACACGGAAAGCACTGCCCGCACATGATTAGCTTTTGTGGCTATACTGAAATGTCTACAGGTATACAAGTGTCCTGCCTCACTCCCCCAGCATCTTTTCCACCTGCTCAGAGTAAGGGCAGCAAGAATAGGAAATAGGGAACCCCTTTGTGACCCTACTGCCAGTCTCAGGAAGCCTTCCTGCAAGAACTTCTAGGCCAGGGCACTGGCCCCAACAACCCAAAACTCATGACTCCATCCCCCTAACTCTTCCCCATGCATACCTGTGACTCCCAACTTGTCATCCTTTCCTACCGGTTTCCAAGTTGCTCTTCCTTCTTCCAAATTACCAGAACTTGGTTGAATGAATTTGGGTCTGAGGTCAGATTCATTCTCAGGCTTCCCTCCTTCCCCAGAGAGGCATTTAAAACTCTACCAGCGTTTCTTAACGTGTGGACACAGCGGATGACCCGGGGTGTTTGTTCAAAATACAGATTTTCCATTTCATGCCAATAGGATTGAATATGAATTGCTGGGGACAGCGCCTGCTAGTAAGCTTTTAGTAAGCTTCTGGGAAAGATTTTTTATACACATATACATTAAAAATGATATTTTAATCACAATTAAAATTCCTATCCCCACTTTCAAGAAAATAATCATTAGTGGAGGATGGGGGTTTGGCATTCCAAAATTGGGGGTCTAGGCTTTTTAGAGCTACTTCTTCCCAGTCCTCCCCCAACTTCAAGAAAATAATCATGGTGGAGGATGATTGGAGAACATCCCAAAGTTGGGGGTATAGGCTTTTTAGAGATACTTCTTCCCAGTCTGGGCTGGCTCAACAGCAAAGGGAAAACGGAAGAGAAGAGGCAAAAAAAAAGTCCTAAAAAGCTGGTGGCGGGGCGTTCGCCTCCTTCCAAACCCTCATGATCGTCCTGAGAAATTACCGCACGAGTCGCTGTCTCCGGCCACTGTCTCTCCACCCTCTCAGGAGTGGGGCGAAGAGGCCCGCGCTGGGTCACTTGCACAGTGGTGGAAACTGAGGCCCAGGGAGGCGTGGGGCCTAGGTAGTAAGCCTGCTTAGCAGGGCGCTGGAATTCCTGGTCTCTGCCTCAACCTACCCGGCCACCAGGGAGCGCGCGGTAGGGGGCGTGGTCCTCGAACGCCTTCTGCTCCCCTGGAAGCTCTGCCACAACCCCAATCTCCTCTCATGGCCGCGACTCTGGTCCTATCCGTCCTGGAGAGCGGTCCTTACTCTCCAGCCTCAGTTTCCTCATCTGCTCCCGGTGTGTGTGCTGGGGCAGGGGGCAGTGGGGCGTGGGTCTGGGAACCGAACTGCGGGGGGCAAGGCGGCGGGATTCCTCGCGGGAAAGTCGCCTAGTCCCTCCCACGGGGGGCTGGAGACCCTGAACTGAAACAGAAGGCAGACGCCCCCGGCCGGGAAGCGGCCCCAGCCCGGATTTCCCTCCCGGGTGGGGCCGCAATGACTCACCCCCTCCCCCCTTTCCCCGGTTTCCTTGTTTGCATTTCTCCTCCCGGCCACGTGGCGGCCAGTGCAGCCACTCACCGCCCGATCCCAGACACCCCGGCTGTTGCGGCCTCCTGCACACACCTCGGGGCGGCTCCTGCCCCCTGGGGATGCTCGGCTCAGGCGGATGTCCACTGTACGTACCCGCGGGTGCGGACTCCAAAGCCTGCCGGTGCCCGCCCCCTTCCCCTACGTTCTCCTCTACCGTAAGGCAGGGCGCCTCCTCCCCGCCCCCTCCGCCAGTCAAGGGGAGGGGAAGGGGGCGGGCAGCGCAGGGGGTGTGACAGCTCCCGCCCGGACCGGAGCCAGCGCAGCCTTGCTTCAGCGCCCGGTGCCAGCTGGCTTCTTCGTCTGGGACGAAGGCGGAGGCTCGGGGCTCCTTGTCGCCGGTGGCTGGGTGGCGTCCCCCCACCAAGCCCCCACCCCTCTACTCACCCAAGAGGAGCCTCTCCACCAAGCCCTGCATCCTGCTGCCCTGGCAGCCGGTCCAGCTAGGCACTGGCCCCGTTCGCTGTACCTGGACTTATCCACCGGCTTCCTCCTGATTCCCTTATCAAAGCTGATGGGGGTCGCTGGGGACCGCCCAGCCTTTTGTTAGAGCCTGCACGGCTGTGCGAGCTTCAAAAGAAACATGAAGGTGGGTAAGGTGGGGTCAGGGTTGAAGAGGAGCAGGAGAGGGCGGGAGAGGAAGCTGACACGGTGGGGAGTTTGGGTGGGAGAGAGAGGGTTGGTCAGGGCTGAGGAGGAGGGGAGAAGGGTTTGAGCCGAAGCTGCATTTCTGGGAGACCCAGTGAATCTACAGCCTCATACTGGGAGGTGGTGGAGATCCCTGCAGGGGCATGGGCAGTGAGATGGGACAGAATTCCAAAGAGGACTAAAAAGGGCCTGATCTTTTCCAAGAGCCAGCTGGAGACCCCTAAGTGCGCCAGACCGGCAGGCCCCAGTAAAGGTCTTCCTGTTCCTCCCCCCAGCTCCTGGCAGGGCTGCAGCACCTCCGCCTGACCAGTCCAGAGGACTCTAAGGAAGTAGTTCTGCCTGGGGCAGTTGAACTGTGGTCCAGCTGCTCCACTCCCGTCCCATGGCTGTCCGCTTTCCTCCCTGTGTCACAGGTGGGCTGGCCAGGTGAGAGCTGCTGGCAGGTGGGCCTGGCTGTGGAGGATAGCCCAGCTCTGGGAGCACCGCGGGTGGGACCCCTCCCTGACGTGGTGCCAGAGGGGACCCTACTCAACATGGTGTTGAGGAAGATGCACCGGCCCCGAAGCTGCTCCTACCAGCTGCTGCTGGAGCACCAGCGTCCGAGCTGCATCCAGGGGCTGCGCTGGGTGAGTCCCTTTCACCTGCCCAGGTGCCAGGGTCAGTACCAGGGCTAGAGGGGGGCCTGGATCGTGGCTCGGCGTGCTGCTGGTGGTCCAGCTTGCTCTGGGGGTATAGAGTGGTACAGCTGCGGTAGACAGTGGGTCAGGAAGCTTGTCTGCAGTATGCGTGGGTGGTTCACACAGCTGCAAAGTGTGTGTCTGTGTGTGTGTTCTGCCCAAATGTCTCTGGGCATAGGAGGAAGGGGAACGGGATTTGTTCTCTGTCACCTCTGTGAGCCAGGCATCGAGTGAGGTGCTTGTGTGTTCTCTCCAGGTGAAGGTGGGAGGTATAGGGGCCAGGTCAAGGGGTTGGAGTGAGGTAAGCTTGGTTACGGTTCTTGGGTACGTCACTGTGGCAGCATTCTCCTTTAGTGAGTTACTGAACTGTGCTAATTCTGTGTTTTGGGCTTGGGGTGAGGTGGTCATGTGGACGCTGCTTGGTACCTGCCTTTGGGGTCTCAGGGAAGGATTCTGAGACATTTGGAGAATCTGAGATGACCGAAGTGCCCTTTGCTAGTGAGAAACATTTCTGGACCTGAAAGAATGAAGGAGAGAGCAGGAAGGGGAAAGAATGGTGGGATTTGGGAGGCAAGATAATGGCTGTACTATCCAAATCGGCAGAGACTAAATAGAGTAGCTTAGCTTGAGATTCAGTTACATCTTTACTGCATGTGTCCACCCGGGTTTCGCTATGTTGCCCAGGCTGGTCTTGAACTCCCAGGCCCAAGCAATCCACCTGCCTTGGGCTCCCAAAGTGCTAGTATTACAGGCGTGACCCACCGCGCTTGGCCAGGAGCGTTCATTTCTTTTTTCTTTTTCCTTTCTTTCTTTTTTTTTTTTTTTTTTTTTTTTTACTGGAGTCTTCCTCTGTCACCAGGCTGGAGTGCAGTGACGCCATCTCGGCTCACTGCAACCTCCGCCTCCCAGGTTCTCCTGCCTCAGCCTCCTGAGTAGCTGGGGCTACAGCTGTGCACCACCATGCCCAGCTAATTTTTGTATTTTTAGTAGAGATGGGGTTTCACCATATTGGCCAGGATGGTCTCTATCTCTTGACCTTGTGATCCGCCTGCCTCAGCCTCCAAAAGTGCTGGGATTACAGGCATGAGCCATTGCACCTGGCCGAGAGTTCATTTCTTATTGGCAAGTCCTTTCGAGTAGAATAACCACTACCCTCTCCCTCCTTCCCCCTACCTTGCCCAACTGCCATTTACGCTGAGGCTGAGTTGAAAAAACTGAGACCCACCAAGATGAGGGGCTCTTCTTTGCACTCAGAATTGAGAGGAGAGTCCAGGTGTCAGTACTGGTAGAGCTGTTCTCTACTAGGGTCTTCCTTATCATGAACCTGGGTCCTCCCCCCCTACCCCTCCAGCTCTCTTCTCTGGGTCATTGGCTGTACCTATTGCCTGGAGCCAGTGGGCTGGAACCCTCCCTCCCTCCTTCCCTCTTAGGCTATAATTATTTGTGCATTTCCTGTCCCCTTCCCAGCTTGTAGAGGCAAGGTAGGGGGTAGGGAGAAGGTCAGGTGCCAGGACAATGAGGTCACTGGAGGATCCCCTGGGACTTGAAGTCTGGGAGGGAGTGGAGGAGGCCACCAGGCTGTTTCCTGACTCCCCACAGCCCCCAGAAATGAAGGGCTGGTGTGCATGGGGAGGCTGGAGAGGTGGGGGTGAAGGTTGCTGGAGTGTAAATGGGGTCAAAGGCACAGAAACAAGGCCCTTCCTTGCCAGGCGGGCGTTGGTGACTAGAGGGAACTTAGATTTTTAGTGTTTAGAGGCAGGCGGCCGCTCCCTCTTCTGATGACCATCTTTGGGGACTGGGGTGGGGAGGTTTCATTCCATCATTCCTGTGTTTGAGAGGCTCTGGGTACCTGTGAAGCTGTACCTCTTACCTCTTGATGATGCCTTTAGCCCAGGGAAGGCTTCCATGAGGGAATGAATGAGTGCCAGCTGTGAGCACACACACCCACGGTAAAGGGGTGGAGCCCGAGTCCCAGGAAGACAGCACTGCCAGTTATTGATGCCAGACCTCCCTCTTCGAAAGCCAAGGGGAAAACCCATTAACCTCCCAGAGAAGAAGTCTGAAGACAGCTCTTTCCATTCCTACCTAGACCAGGACAAGAGAAAATGCAGGCGGGTTACAGTAGGAGAGCTTGCAGTTAGATACAGACTAAGATAAGACTTAACAGCTATGGCAAAGGTGAAACTGGAATGGAATGGAAGAACATCTTTGGAAAACATGAGGGGGGAGGTGAGACCTTGTCTGAAGTCTGGGGGCAGGGGCAAGATCAGTGACCTCTGGTGGGTTCTATTAGCTCAGGGAGGTCTGAGATGATTCTCTTTGTGCGACTGTTTTTGGGGAAGTGACCCTATTTTGTAACTCAGAGAACACACTTTCATCCAATCTGTCCAAATAATAGCAGCAGCTAATAGTTATACAGTACTTATGTGCGAGACATTATTGTAAGAGGTTTACCTTTATCATATCAAATAATTCTCACAACAGCCCTGTGAGATAGGTATTAATGTCATCATCTCCATTTTATAGATGTGAAAACGAAGTCACAGAGAGGTTAAGTGACAGGTTCAGAGTTACACAGCTGCTAAGTGACAAAGCTGGGCTTTGGTCCTAGGCAATCTGGCTGCAGAGTCCAAGCTCATAACCACATAACCACCACGCTGCACTTCTCTCTTGCTACAAATAGTAACACTGACACCTTAAGGCATCACCTCACCCCATGCACCCTTCCCCTGTCCCACCACAAGCAGCTTTAGCCTAACATGTTAGCTATGGCCCAAGGGAACTGGTCTGACAGGTCCCCAGGCTGTCTGGCTCTGTGCCTGTCTCTCCAGCCGGGCTCTGACATTCAGTGACAGGGAGTGAGGGTGGGGCAGGCCACAGTGCTGGTGCCAGGGGAGTTAGCGCCTCCTCTTCCACCCCGAAACCTTTCTGTTCAGGAATGAGAGGAGGGAGTGGGTGAGGACCTTCACCTTGACCCGTATCAGCTACTTCTTCCCAACTGAGAACCCTGAAACTGACATGGTATAGCTTTTTTTTTTTTTTTTTTTTTTTTTTTTTTGCACTGTGTCCTGATAATAGGGCCCATCATGAAATAATAACATCTGATCAAGTCAACTAACATTTACTAAGTAGTTACTGTGATCCAGGCACCATTCCAAGTACTTTATATTATTAACTTTTTGATCCTCATAACCCTTTGTGATAGGTACTATTCTCATCATCAACCCCAGTTTACAGACGAGGAAACTGAAGCACTGAGAACTTCAGTAATCAGCACGAGCTCGCATAACCAGATGGTAATGCAGAAGCTAGGATTTGAACCCAAGCATCTGGCTGTGGAGCCCATACACTTGACCACTGCCCTTGAATAGCAGCCCTCTCTCCCCCGCATCCTAGAAGGTTGCCATGCACACAAACATCCTGGGGGCACAGAAAGGGTAGAGTAACAAACCTATCTACCTTTGTCTAACCCAGTGGTTTCCAAACTTACTTGCCCACGGAACTTGCCTGAAGGCAGAATACCTCTACTGTCTGTGTCCATAGCACAAAGCTGAGGAAACATGGGGATAGGCATCATGGGAGACGGACGGTAGGGCGTAATGCTAAGAGCATGGCCTTTGGAATCAGACAGACACAGGTATGAATCCTGGTGCCCTTACTGACCAACAGTTAGGGCAGGTTGTAGAACCTTGGAGCTTTCTTTTCTCTAGCTGTGAAATAGGAAACAAATACCTACCTCTGGGGTCAGCACCAGTAGCAGAGTCACTCAGTAGAATCTTACCTTTCTAAATAGTTGTGTGATCTCTCTGGGCTTTTGCTTTCCTTGTCAAAATGAGAGGGATTCCTTAAGGTCCCTGCCTCCGTGCTCATGGGCTAGGGCCTATTCTCTGACCTGCATGCTCATCCCCTGGGGGAGGACAGGAAATGACCAGCCTGGCCATGTGACCCGGCACCTCCCCTCCTAACGTGCCCTCTTCCAGGTCAGAATAATACCAGGAAGGGGCTGGTGCTGGAGCCTGGGTTGTGGGCTCCAGTGGGAGTTGGGGCAGGGACTGGGGCCACCTGGGCATTTTGACATGAACAACAACAAGTCATTAGCACTCAGGCACTGTTTGTTCCTACACAGGGGGCTGGCTGGGTAGCATTCCTGCCCTTCCTCCCTTCCCTGGCTCCTCCTCCTCCTCATTTCCTGTCGTTAAGTCTCCAGGGCTCTGTGTCTGGCACTGGGCTCGGCCCCATGACCCGGGCAGGGATACCCTTGGGACACCTAGTGACTTCCGCCCAGCCCTGGGCCAGGCGCCTGCGCATGCCAGACCTCAGGCCTCTGCCTGGGCACGCAGTGCCAAGATGCCTGTGCTCAGGGCCCTGCCAGCACCAGGCCTGGTTGTACTGCAACTCCCCGACAGGTCCTTTTCAGGGACCCCAGGGCAGATGGGAAGCTAGGAGAGAGGTGGCTGGTGAGGGGAGAGGAAAGGGGTAGGTGGGGTGGGTGTGGGGAGACTGAGAATGGGAGCACTTCTGGGTGGGAACTGGAACTTCTCCACAGCTGTCTGGCTGTCCCAAGTGTGCACGACTGAGTTACACAAGGTACCTCACCTCCAGGCTTTTATTTCCTCGTAAGTCACAGAGGACAGACAATGCCTGCTCTGCCTATTTTACATCTGATCCTATTTTACATGAGATCCAGTGAAATCAAGGGGGTGGTTGTGCTTTGTAAACTGTACAGTGAGCTCTTTGAGACGGCTCATAGACGGTAGAGCATCCTGTCCAGAGATGCCCACAAACCCCAGTTCTCAGGTGGCAGGAAGAGAAGGGTCGTGAGGGGCTTTCTTGGCCATTATTCCGGGGTATACAGGCCCGGGAATTCCAAATGGCTTGATTGTTACCAAGGGCAGGGAATCCTTACTAAGCAGTGTTTCCGTGACAAAATGCGTCTTCCTGAGCCAGTCCTGGGTGCCACCAAGGACTTATTCACTCTTGCAGGGCATGGGCTAGCAACATCTCAGAGAAGAAAGACGCTTTCCAGCAAGCAGCTCCACCCTAATGCCTCACAGATGAGTACTAGCTAACATGTGCATACAGCTCTATGCCAGGCAATGCTTTAAACATTCGACGTGTAGCAGCTCATTTAATTCTCCCAAAGCCTCATGAGTTGGTATCATTAGTGCTTTATAGATTTTATAGTTAAGGAAACTCAGGTCAGGAGGGAGAGGTTAAATCACTTGTTTCAGGTCACATCTTCAATCAGTGGGGGAGCAGATTTGAATCCAGGAGCCTGGCTCCAGCGATTGTGTTTTTAACTACCAGGCTGATCCGAGGCCCAGAGATGGCAAGAGACCTGCTCACGGGCCTGTGGAAGGGCACAGAAGCTGGCTGGGGACCAGGCCTGTGACCCCAGCCCAGGAGCGGTCATTCCTAGGCTTCCTGAGCTGCTCACATCCTGGCTTCCGTCTCACGGGCCTTCTTATCTCATGTTCTCATGCTTCTTTCAGCTCCTTCACTTCTTTCCCCCAACAGTGGCAGTTCACCTGGGGGTGTGGGCACCCCTGGGCCCTGAGTAAGCAGAATGGGTGCCTTGGGACTCTCATCTGTAAGGAGGCAGTCTTTGGGTTGGGTCTGGTGATCAGGATGGCAGGGTGGGAAGAGGCGATGCCCAAGGCACAGGGTGCTGAGTGAATATTTGTTTATTTGCTGAATAAATGGCCACATGGATGCATTTGGGGTTGGGGCCTAGGCAAGGGTGGAAGTGATGGGGGAGGGGAGGTATCCAAGAGCTGGGCTTGAAGGCCTCACACTGATGTGCACACTTTCCCTGCTGCCTCCAGACACCACTCACCAACAGCGAGGAGTCCCTGGATTTCAGCGAGAGCCTGGAGCAGGTAGAAGCCTGGGTGGGGTGGAACTGGGACAGGCAGCACCATGAGGGGTTCAGACCCTGAATCGCTGTGCTCTTCCTCCCTCCAAGGCCTCCACAGAGCGGGTGCTCAGGGCTGGGAGGCAGCTGCATCGGCAACTGCTGGCCACCTGCCCAAACCTCATCCGAGACCGGAAGTACCACCTTAGGCTCTATCGGTGAGTGGAGGCCCTGCTGCGTCCCTGCCCAGCCTCCCTGCTTTCTCTCCGTTCCACTCTATTTCAGGCACCTGGGCCTCACCCTGCTTCTAGCAGAGGGACGAACCAGGCTTGGGTCTCAGAGGGTGCCTTTCTAATGCAGAGTTCCTCCCTCTCCCTGCCACCCTCCTTCCACTGGCCTGTCTCCTTCTACCTTCCATAGGCAGTGCTGCTCTGGCCGGGAGCTGGTGGATGGGATCTTGGCCCTGGGACTTGGGGTCCATTCCCGGAGCCAAGCTGTGGGAATCTGCCAGGTGCTGCTGGATGAAGGTGCCCTCTGCCATGGTGAGCCCGAGCGCAGGGTGGGGTGCCCCGGGCTGGGCTGGGCTGGGCAGTGATGGGGACAGGACAGGGCAGTCCTGGGAAGCAGGCATTACTTGGGGAGTGCTGACGGGTGGCATTGCTGTGGGGTTTCATATCCACATGGCCTCAATTTCCTCTCCTCCCCCATGCCTGGGCCTCTGCCCCCCAGTGAAACACGACTGGGCCTTCCAGGACCGAGATGCCCAATTCTACCGGTTCCCCGGGCCCGAGCCCGAGCCCGTGGGAGCTCATGAGATAGAGGAGGAGTTGGCTGAAGCTGTGGCCCTGCTCTCCCAGCGGGGGCCTGACGCCCTGCTCACTGTGGCACTTCGAAAGCCGTGAGTCAGAATCCCTGCACCCCATGACCCCAGACCCCACACAGCACTCAGATTCCATGGTTTCTCACACTGATCTCTGGGGACATCCCTCACCTGTTGTGGAGGGAAGGGAACCTGGCTGGCGCAGAAGCCCCTGGCCCTGACTGCCATGGACTCACTGTGTGACCTGGATCCCTCCACACTCCCAAACCGACCCCAAGTCAGTTTCTTCCTCTGTAAATGAGGGTGTTGGGCCAGGGGGATCTCTGAGGACCCTTCCCACTCAGAGACACAGTTGTGGCTGAAAGCAAGGGAGTTTTGGAAACTGCAGTCCGGTGGGTCCAGGTTCAAATTCCAGCTGGACCGGCTACTGGCTGGGTGACCTTGAGCCTCCCCATGCTAGTTCCTGTTCTGTCAAGTGAGGATGATTGAACTGCTCCTTAGGCTTGTTGTGAAACAATGCATGCAAAATGCTCATCCCAGGCGCTGCCACACGTGCGCACTCAGTGAAGGTTAGCCACTGCTGATAACCGTCACTGCTGAGGCACCGTCTGGGCTTCGGCTGGGTGGGTAGAGTGGCTCCCTGCGCCTGGCGGGCCCACAGTTCACGGTGTGCTCCCATCCCTCCTGTCCCTGCAGCCCAGGTCAGCGCACGGATGAAGAGCTGGACCTCATCTTTGAGGAGCTGCTGCACATCAAGGCTGTAGCCCACCTCTCCAACTCGGTCAGTCCCGCCCCTCCCAGCCCTGTGCTGTCCCAGGCATCTCCTCTTCCTGTGACTTCCCTGAAACTCAACTGCTGGGCCAGAGGGCATTTCTCCACTTCCATCTAGGGCTGGAAATTTTCAGTCTCATTTCTTGCCCCCAGCGCTACTCTGTCTGAAAATCCTTCCGCCTCTCTCAGCCCATTTTCTCCACTTGCTTTGTCTCCTGCCAAATCCTGGAAACACCTGACCTGGCCACATTTCTGTCCCTCAGCACTTGTGTCTTTGGACCTAACCACACCCCTAGCAAAAGCCTGGCTGCTCTGCACATGAACTTGTCACCACTGACTCTCCTATCTCCACCACACAGGTGAAGCGAGAATTAGCGGCTGTTCTGCTCTTTGAACCACACAGCAAGGCAGGGACCGTGTGTAAGTCCAGCAGGGCACAAGAAGCCAGGCACAGGGCCTGAACATGGGCAGAAGGATGTGTGAAGGAGTGGTAGGTGCCAGGAGGGCCTGGTCTGAGGTATGCCTCTGTCAGTGTTCAGCCAGGGGGACAAGGGCACTTCATGGTACATTATCTGGAAGGGATCTGTCAACGTGGTGACCCATGGCAAGGTGAGCCCTCCCTCCTCCCCGCCCCAGTGCCCTGGGTCCTAACTGCTCCCTGGTCCGTTCCTCATGGGTAGTGCCTTTGTTAGTCTACTGCTGCTGACCCTCTGTGTCTCCTGTCTGGGTTGTTTTCCTGCTGTGGGTCTGTCCTGGCAAGGGCTGGGGCTGGCAGGGGTGGGCTGAGACTGAGGCCTGGCTGCAGGGGCTGGTGACCACCCTGCATGAGGGAGATGACTTTGGACAGCTGGCTCTGGTGAATGATGCACCCCGGGCAGCCACCATCATCCTGCGAGAAGACAACTGTCATTTCCTGCGTGTGGACAAGCAGGACTTCAACCGTATCATCAAGGTGCTGCTGCTGGGGTCGGGGAGGGCAGGGGCCGTTCGTCCACAGAAGTGATGTGGGGCGAGAAGTAGGGACCAGAGCAGAGGGCCTGTAAGAAGCAGGGCAGGTAGGAGACGCTGGGCTATGACGGCTGGCAGTGGGGACCATGGCCCTGGGTATGTGTGAGAAGGTGAAGCCTATAGGGCACAGCAGGGGTTCAGCGAGACCAGTGACCTCAGGCGCAGTGTGGGAGACCAGGGGAAGGATGGGTGTGCACGGGGCAGGGGACTAGGCTGTGGGGCAGGAAGGATGCATGGAAGGAAGGGAAGACTGAGGAGGTGGAGCCAAAGTCAGAGGTGGGAGAAGGGCTGTGGGTCCCTGTGGGACCCTCATGGGGCTCAGGGGCTGGAATGAAGGAGGTAGATGGGAGGGTCTAAAGCTGGAACATCATGTGTTGAGCATGGGGTGTGGCCTTTTCTCCAGGATGTGGAGGCAAAGACCATGCGGCTGGAAGAACATGGCAAAGTGGTGCTGGTGCTGGAGAGAGCCTCTCAGGGCACCGGCCCATCTCGACCCCCAACCCCAGGCAGGAACCGGTAACATACCTGCTATGCTCCCTCTCCACACTGTCTCTCCTTTCATTTCCCAGTCTTTGCTCCCTTCCCCTGTGTCATATCCCTGCCCTCTGGCCACCCGTGGATGGAGAGGTATTGAGGGACCAGGATGCACCCGCTGAGTCAGTCTCTTCCCTGCCCTAAGGTGGGACAGGGCTGGCTAATCGAGAAAAACGATGTAATTGATTATTGATGTCTGCCCAGGTGTGGGACTGGGGAGTGGTGGCACCAGTGCCATAGATTGGCCGTTTCTGCTAGGTATACAGTGATGTCTGGTACCCCAGAGAAGATCCTAGAGCTCCTGTTGGAGGCCATGGGACCAGATTCCAGTGCTCATGACCCAACAGGTAAGGGCAAGAGACACCCTGTCTGCTTTCTAACTCATTGGGTGGTCCATGCAGCCTGGGAGAGAGCCAGGTACCCTGCATCTGACCTCACCGAATGCTGGATGGGTCTGTACAGTGGTTGGCAATAAGTCCTCTTACCTGTGCTCTTGGCTTAGTGGGGAGCACTATCACAGGGGCTGGACACTGCTGGTACCTTGCAGGTGGTGGGACGTGGGGAAGGGTCCTTCCATCTGTCCATACACCTGTGCTCAGCAGACTTGGCCTCTGAAGCCTCCTCCCATCCCCCTACCCTGTCCTACAGAGACATTCCTCAGCGACTTCCTCCTGACCCACAGGGTCTTCATGCCCAGCGCCCAACTCTGTGCCGCCCTTCTGCACCAATATCCTTCCAGCCCCAGGGGGATGGTGTGTGTAGGGGATAGGATGGTGCATAGGGTTGAGAGAATCTTACCAGTGTGGCTGTGCTGAGTCCTCTAAATGCCAGCCTGCTGCCAGGCCCAGCTTGCCTGGGGCCTGGGCATCCTGCCCGTCCTTTGCCTCAGGTGGGTGGCCCTGGTTGGATATTGTGGTTCCCTTGACTGGTGCCCACCTTCCATGCGGAGCCTGCGGGTGGCAGTGAGCAGGAGCGCAGCACCTACATCTGCAACAAGAGGCAGCAGATCCTGCGGCTGGTCAGCCAGTGGGTGGCCCTGTATGGCTCCATGCTCCACACTGACCCTGTGGCTACCAGCTTCCTCCAGGTACCTGGGAGTGAGGCACAGCAGGGCTGGGCTGCCCGGGGTGGACACAGCTACAGCCATCTCAATGCATCTTGGCTCTTCTTAGAAACTCTCGGACCTGGTGGGCAGGGACGCCCGACTCAGCAACCTGCTGAGGGAGCAGTGGCCAGAGAGGCGGCGACACCACAGGTGATGCTTTGATTCCGTTAATTTGTCATTTCCATAACTGGCAGTGCCACGGGGACCAAGAGCATATGCTCTGGAGTCAAGCACTTGGCTTCAGATCCAGGCTGAACCACTTACTTCAATTCCTTGTTCTTAGCAGTCCCCTTGCTGTTCACCCTCACGCCACACGTCCATCCATTCTCATGCGTCATGCACTCATTCATTTATACATTCTCATATCCTGAGTGTACCTGCTGTTCTCACTTCCTCCATTGGGCATGCATTTATTACCAAATACCCTCAGTGCCAGTTTCTGCCAGCCCCGCCCAGTACATTTCCTAGACTTTACCTTCACCCTTGCAGGTGTTCCCACGGGAGCAGCTGAGATTCAGGGGGATGGGGAGCTCATCTGAAACAGCACTTGATCTGAAACCCTGGGTCTCCATCTGCCTTTAACTTTTTCCTTCCCCTCCTGGCCTTGGAAAATCACAAAGTCCAGGGGCCTGGTTTTAAGACCGTGTTTGCCCCTCTTTATGTGATACTTACCTGGTCGTGCTTACCTCTGAACCACTGGTGAGGGCCAGGGGGAATCCAGAGCCCCAAGGGCCTCCCTGCTGCTGGCCCAGGAATACCCGGGCTTGCTCACCTCCCTTCTCTCTTGTCTGCAGGTTGGAGAACGGCTGTGGGAATGCATCTCCTCAGATGAAGGTGTCTGCCTGGCCCCAGCTTCTTTCCTCTGCTCCTCCTGGACTGCAGGCCCCTCCTTCACCCCCTGACCCTGAGGGGCTCTGTGTGCGTGGGAAGCTCTCCTCCCACAAACACACCCTTGTGTCTGTGACAGGTGTTCACAGGGCGCTTGCTGCATGTGGTGCCCTGGGCCAGGCCGTGCCCGGAGGCGCAGAGGCCTAAGGCGGTCTCCCTCCTCCCCTACTCCCTGACTCCATGGGCCTTTTATTCCTTTTGGGAGGTAATTCATGCCCACAGGTAGAGCCTGGGAGATAAGGAATGGTGGCTGGAGTTGGCCTCTGAGGCCCACAGAGCTCCTGGTGGCCAGTGCTATGGGAGCTCAGAGGAAGGCGAGGCCCCTCCCTGGAAAGTCAGAGGTGGCCCCAGGCCATTCTCAGCTGGGGCTTAAAGGGAATCAAAGAGGGGACGAGAAGATGTGACTGCAGCCAGGATTTGAGAAGATGTGACTGCAGCCAGGATTTGGTTGAGGAATGGTGGGAGAAAGAACTGGAAAGGTAGATTGGGTTGGTGGTGGGGAGGGCTGCACTGGGAATAAAATCCAGGGGCCTCACCGGCCAGCAGGCTCCCCGTGCTCCCAGTCTACTGTGCGTCCCAGCCTCTGCCTGCTGGAGGCTCTCACTGGCTTCTTCTCCTCCGAAGGCTAAGCCTGTTATCCCCTCAGGACCTTTGTACTTATCCCTTAGCCTGGAAGAGTCTTTCTCTGGCTCTGCCTGACAGGATCTTTCTTGTTCTCATCTCAGCCAAATGCTGGGTTCCCAGACAGGCCCCCTCCCATCTCCCTATCTGGAGCACCCTCCCCTTTCTCCCCACCAAGCTCTGCCGTGGTGTCCTCTGTGATTTTCTTCAAAGCACTCTTGCCAGGTGGAGTTGTTTTCTTTGCCTACTTGCTTTCTGTCCTTTGGTCTCTCTCCCATCCCACTGGAGGATTGACTTCCCTCCTGCAGGCCCCCACCTCCGCTTCTCCTTGCTCACATGCTGCCTGGCTCTTGGCTGACGCTCAGAAACTGATGTGGGCTCGCCCTCGCGGGCTGGGCACTGTGCTAGGTGCTGATGCTGCACTTCAGCCCTGGCCTGTGGGGCTGCAGTCAGGCAACGGGCAGAGCAGTTAAACAACCCGTGATGTGCAGTGGCACGGGACACTTTCCGTGAATCTGCACTGGAGTCGGCTCCTGAAAATGGGAGGGGAAGGGCCGACTCCAGTGCAGATTCAGGGAAAGTGTCCCATGTAAGCGACTACTGGAGCTGAGAGCTGCAGGGGGCGAGGGTGGAGGAAGAAGAGGATACCTGGCGGGCAAACCCAGGAGGAAAGGGAACCCAGGAGGAGGATCCCTGGAGGAGCGAGAGTGAAAGCAGGACCCCAGAGCAGGCAGGAAGTGGGCAGGGTCCCATGGGCCAGGGCCAGGGGGTCTGATCTTTGTCCTAAGAGCAGTGCAGACCACTGAAGGGGTTTGAGCCAAGGTTGGCAAAGTCTGATTTGTGTTTTGAATAGGTCAGCTAAAGCGCCTGGGCTTTCTCCAGCAAACAGTGGCTGCCATTGAAGCCGAGGGCAGGAGCTTCACGGGGCTCTGGTCAGGCAGACTGGAGGAGGAGGGTTGGAGGCACCTGGGAGGGAGGAGGAGGAGCATAGTTGGGCCATTGGAGTAGATAAGGAGTGAGGCCCCGTGGGCAGGTGGAACTGAAATTAGCCTGGACAGGGGAGGAGGGGGCATGGGAGACCCATTTCAAAGAAGAATCCTCAAAGCAAGATGACAAGCTACAGGAAGTGTGGAGGAGCCTGGAGCCTGGGAGAATGGCTGGGGAGCAGAGTGGTCTGGGAGGCAGGATGCAAGGATCCGATGGGTATATGGAGTGTGAGGTAATGGATCACTCATGTGGAAGGATCCAGGGGGTGTTTGAGACCAGGGTTTGGAAGAGAGTTCAGCACTGCTGGTAGTTTTGGGAATCACCCATGTACAGGCGACATATGAGGCAGTGAGGAACTCTGCAGGAGGCCCTGAGATTTGAAAATGTAGGGAAGAGCAATGGATTGAGGTCTGAACCTGGAGGATCTGCCATACGCAGAGCTGGGAGGAGGGACAGAGTCAGTACCAGAGTCGGAAAAAAGCAGGGTGGGAAGGGGAACCTGCGTCAGGAGCCTTGCCTGGCAGGTGCTGCCCCACGAGCAGAGGCTTGGCAGTGGTTTCCACGCACTGCATCTCTGCTGTGGACTGGGACAGGGCCGCTGGCACAGTGTTGGAGCACAGAGAGGGAAAGGAGCAGCAGGGTTCCAACTCTGCCAGTTAGCAGCTGTGTGGCTTTGGGCATGTTACTTAACCTCTCTGAGCCTCATTTATTTCATCCATAAATGGAAATAATAATGCTTTTGTCAAAGGTGCATTGTGAATATTTAGATCCTCAGAATAATGCCTGGCTTGTAGCAAATGGTAGCTGGAGGGAAAGGAAGAAAAAATCCCAAGTCAACAGCTGAAGAGTTTTCATATCAGAACTGCTCTGGACCTATCCCGCAGAGGCAGAAGCACACACACGCAGGGGCATGGATTTGCCCCGCCCTTAGACACGTTGTGTCTTCTCCTGGAGCCTTGGTCTCAGGTGCCTTACCTGGGCTCAGGTGAATGTGGCAGGCAGAGCCCTCTGGTGGTGGGAATGCTGTGTCGCGCCCGTGCTCCTGGTGACACAGGACCCTCACAATCCCTCCCTCCATGCTCTCCTCTCGTCCTCCCAGTCTTATTTTCTCATTCCTCTTCCTCCCAGGCCCGGAACTTGCCTGTTTGGCTCCCCAACCAGGACGAGCCCCTTCCTGGCAGCAGCTGTGCCATCCGAGTTGGGGATAAAGGTTGGTGGTCTGAGCCAGTTGGGCACGCCTGACATCTGCACCCTGCTGTCTCTGCCTCTCTTGTCCTGCTGTCGTCGCTTTTGACCTGGGTGTGCCTGGGCTAAGGTGGCATGCTATACTCCTCAGGGTCTGTGTTCCAGGCTGCTGGCCACATCTGCCTCCTGTACCCCTTTTTTTTTGCTCAGGGCCTCCCCACCTGCAGCTCAGCCTCTTGGGGATTCCTCCCACCCTTACTGCAATAACTGCCCTCTCCCTCCTGGGGTAGAGATCAGGCGGCCCTTCCCACAGTTCAGTCTGGTCTCCTCTTTAGTCCCCTATGACATCTGCCTGCCAGACCACTCAGTGTTGACCCTGCAGCTGCCTGTGACAGCGTCTGTGAGAGAGGTGATGGCGGCGTTGGCTCAGGAGGATGGCTGGACCAAGGGGCAGGTGCTGGTGAAGGTCAATTCTGCAGGTGGTGAGTTATGCCCCTGGATAGACCCCAAGGGAGGGTGGCCCCTCAGATCTGCGCCCAGGTCCCCCAGTCAAGATCATTGTCATCATTGTCATCTTTCTCGTTTTCCTCAGTGTGAATGATGGCTAGCATTAATGGGAGGTGGAGCGCATCTATTCAAAGTGCATTTCATGCAGTGTGTAAGAGCATGAGCTCTGGAGCCTGCTTCTTGCATGTGGCACCAGCCCTTTAGCTCCCTATCTGTGTGTCCTCCGGCAGGGTACTTCATCTCTCTGTGCTCAGTTTTATCATCCGTAAAATGGGAATAGTAGGAGTACTTGCCCCCTGGAGGAACTGTGAGGATCAAATGAGTTCATCTATGAAAGCATTTAGAATGGTGCCTGGCACATAGTGATACATAACTATTAGCTGCTATTACTATCATCATTTGTGTTTAGTCATTTAATATGAAATAATAACAATCTCATGAGGTGCAGGTACTTTTATCCTATTTTCAGACAAGAACACTGAAGCTCAAAGGGTGTGAGCTATTCCTCAAGCTCACACAGTGAGAGTAGCTGGTCTTGGAACTTAGGTAGTCTTCATTTGTTTAGTCACTCAGCAAACATTTTTGAGGATCAGCTATGAGCCAGCAATATGTTAGGAGCTGGAGATACCACAGCAGGTAAAACAGGTCAGCTTGATGGTTAAGAGCATAGACTGTGGACTCCCAGACGTGTGAAGGCATCTTAGGCTCACCATTTACTAGCTGTGTGATGCTGGGGAAGTTGCTTAACCTCTCTGAGCCTGCATTTCCTCACCTGTCAGATGAGGACTGTAATTGTATCTACCAAAGGGTTGTAATGGCTACTAAGTGAGCTAATGTGTGTAAAGCAGCACAGGGCCTGCCACAAAGTCAGTGCTGAGAACATGGTGGGCTCAGGATTATTAAGATGGGCCTCCAGAGAACCTGGAACATTCAAAACCACCATTCTCTGTGGAGGGCACGGGCCTGACAGCTGGAACCCAGGGCAGACAAGAATTAGGGGCATTCAAGAAGTGGGGATGAGAAAAGAAAGGCCTTCTCCCTTCAGTAAGTGGGGAGAGTTGAAGGCCTCCTGTGTGCCCTGTCCTGGGAAGCACTGCCCTCTGCTGGCCATCTGGTGAGTTGCAGTTGCCCAAAGGGCCTGTGTATTGAGACCCTACTATGTGCCAGGCACTGTTTAGAGCACTGATCACCAAAGCACTTGGTTTGACCCATGTCAATAACCAATATTTAATTAAAACCCGCACCCCACGGTGTGAATATTTGTTTGTAAGTAATACACATATATTACTACATTAATATCATAATAAAGATAGATAAAATAGAAATTGATGGAGTAGAAATGCAAAGCAGGTAGAAAAAATAAATGTAAGTAGAAGAGCTCATATTTTCCCCGGGCACGTGAATGATCTGATGTGCCTTACTTTGGAGGCCACTGCTCTAGGGACTGGGAACTGAAGCACAGTCCCAGTCCATGAGGAGCTGATGAAAATCAACACCAAGGCTTATGTAAGACACTTCCCAGTTTTCAAAGAGCTTTTATACATAGCATATACTTATAGCTACTATTTATATACATTATTTTATTTGACTTATGAAATAGTCAGGGCAAGTCTTATTGTCTCCATTTTACCAGGGAGGAAAGTGAGGCTGAGGGAGGATCAGACCCTGCCCAGGTTCTTCCCGACTCACTGAGGATCTTTTCTCATTTTCTTGGATGTGCTTTCCTGGGCAGCGTGGCTGTGTGGGCACATGTACCTGTGTATTCTGAGCACCCGCCCAGGACTTCAACCCCGCTACGAGGAGAAACAACCTCCCAGCCTCCCAAACATCTCTTCCACCCTGTCCTCCAGCTGGTCCCTGGCCTCCCTCCCTTCCCCCAGCCAGGCCGCCACTGCTGTCTTTGCAGATGCCATTGGCCTGCAGCCAGATGCCCGTGGTGTGGCCACATCTCTGGGGCTCAATGAGCGGCTCTTTGTTGTCAACCCACAGGAAGTGCATGAGCTGGTAGGGACCAGGCAGGGTGCCAGGGCCCAGGGAGGAGATCTATTTTGAGCCTGGAAGGGGTGGATTCTGGGGAGGGTCCCAGGGAGAAGAGGGAGGAAGGGCCTGGCTCTGGCTGCTGCTGGGTCCTCAGTACACAGAGGGAGGAGTGGGCTTCAGCTGATGGGGAAATTCCCAAGATTGTGCAGGGCAGGGGCTGGTAGCACTGGTTAGGAGCGCCCAAGGAGAAAGAGGAGGACCCACCCTAGTTAGGGGTTCCCCAGGAGACAGGAGCCTAAAAGGAGGGGTCTCAGCACTGGGGAGCCCTGTCCTCCAGCTGCTATAGCCCCAGACACCCTCTACTCGCCGCTCCTGCCCTCCTAACCCTCCTGCTAACGTGAGCATAGAGTCCTTGCCCCAACCCTCTCCCCCTACCCTGTGCCTTTCCCTGGATTCCTCAGGCAGCCCCTGAGCACTCTCCCACCCGCAGACCCCACACCCTGACCAGCTGGGGCCCACTGTGGGCTCTGCTGAGGGGCTGGACCTGGTGAGTGCCAAGGACCTGGCAGGCCAGCTGACGGACCACGACTGGAGCCTCTTCAACAGCATCCACCAGGTGTGGGAGGCAGAGCTGGGGGAGGAGAGCAGGCGGCGGGAGGCCCGGCTCGGCTCGGCATTCACTGACCTCGCCTGCTGCCCCTGCCCAGGTGGAGCTAATTTACTATGCGCTGGGCCCCCAGCATCTGCGGGATGTCACCACCGCCAACCTGGAGCGCTTCATGCGCCGCTTCAACGAGCTGCAGTACTGGGTGGCCACCGAGCTGTGTCTCTGCCCGGTGCCCGGCCCCCGGGCCCAGCTGCTCAGGAAGTTCATTAAGCTGGCAGCCCAGTGAGTCCCTGTCCAGCGGGTGGGGCGTGGCCAGAGTCCCTGGGCTACCTTTTCCTAAACCCCCCTCTTTGCTTAGTATGTTGCCAAATCTGCCACTCTATTTGTTCCCTGGGTCTCCTGGAGCCTCTGCCTTCCCACCGCATCCAGCTTGGGTCTCTGCAGAGGCTGGCCTGGCTGTTGTCTGGTGACACTGTTGGGGTGGCTGCTTCCCTTACCCTGAGGGTCTCTGGGTCTTCTGCTCACAGCCTCAAGGAGCAGAAGAATCTCAATTCCTTCTTTGCCGTCATGTTTGGCCTCAGCAACTCGGCCATCAGCCGCCTAGCCCACACCTGGGAGGTAGGTGTGGTTTGGAGGGCCCCCTTCCTGAGGTCAGGCCTCAGGCCCTCCTGGGAGTGCTGGATGGGGTTGGGCCTCCCCCAGAGCAGCTGCTCATCTGCCTCCCTTTCACAGCGGCTGCCGCACAAAGTCCGGAAGCTGTACTCCGCCCTCGAGAGGCTGCTGGTGAGTGCTCAGCCCTGCCTGGCCTGGCTCTGCTAGGATCAGCTGGGCTCAGCCCTGCCCTCCAGACATCCTCACTCTTGGCTTCCCCACAGCCCCTATACCTGTCCTTTGTCACTTTCAGGGTTCCCAACCTCGGCCCGGGGCCTAGCTCTGGCCTGTGAGTTTGGGGAGCTGGCTGAGGAGGGGGTGTTCAGCACTAGGATAGGGGTTGCATGGTGCACTCTGGCCCTCAGTGTGTGTCTGCATGGGGGCAGGAGATCCTGTGTGAAGACTGGGCTGGAGCATGTGGGTGTCCGGTCCTGGGGTCTGAGGTACCAGGGCAGTGTCAGGGGCTCCAGAGCCCAAGGGCCTGGCACGGAGCGCCCATGGTGCACCAGGGCCTGTCTGCCCCTCGGGAGCTCCAAGGGGCTTGTAGAACAGGCGAAGAAAGACTTGGGGGTGGAACCTCCCACCTCCAGGAACTTTTGAGGATTTTGAGGGTTTCGACTGTTCTGGAGAGAAGCAGAGAAGAGGTACTTCATCAGCATAGCCTAGGAGCTCTTGAGAGAAAATCCACCTCGTGGGGCTCAAGGGGTTCAAAGGAGTTTACTCTCCAGAGAGAGAAAGGGAGAGAGAGGGAGGGACAGAGAGAGACAGGGACAGAAAGAGACAGAGAGATGACAGAGACAGACTTTTCCAAGAAACTTGGGGCCCCTCTAAGTGCTGTGAATTTTCTCAGTGCTAATGGGAGGCTGGAAGCCCCGTGCTCGCCTGTGACAGAGCCTGGGTGAAACCTGGGGCTGAGGAGAGGCTGAGTTGGGGCCTCTGCACCTGCTGTGGGATGGGCATGTGGCCCCTCCTTGGTTGGGTGGGGTCTGTGGTGGCTTATGCTGTGTGCAACCCCCTCAGTATGGCTTCTTCCCCTAGGATCCCTCATGGAACCACCGGGTGTACCGACTGGCCCTCCCCAGGATCCCTGAACCACCGGGTGTACCGACTGGCCCCAAGCTCTCCCCTCCTATCATCCCTCTATGCCCTCCTTCTCAAAGGTAACAGGGCTTCTGCCTCCGTCTTCCCCCATTCCCACGTTCCTGCCTCTGTCCCCCCATTCCCACCTTCCTGCCTCCATCCCCCATCCCCCTTCCTGCCTCCGTCCCCACTCTCTTCCTGCCTCGGCTCCTCCATTCCCTTCCTGCCTGTCCCCCATCCCCCCTTCCTGCCTCTGTCCCCTCATTCCCCCTTCCTGCCTCCATCCCCCATTCCCCCCTTCCTGCCTCCATTCCCATTCCCTTCCTGCCTCGTCCCCATCCCCCCCTTCCTGCCTCCATCCCCATTGCCCCTTCCTACCTCCATCCCCCATTCCTCTTCCTGCCTCCGTTCCCATTCCCCCTTCCTGCCTCCGTCCCCACCCTTCCTGCCTCTGTCCCCCATTCCCACCTTCCTGCCTCCGTCCCCTCATTCCTTCCTTCCTGCCTCTGTCCCCACCTTCCCCTTCCTGCCTCCATCCCCCCATTCCTCCTTCCTGCCTCCGTGCCCCCATTACCCCTTCTTGCCTCCATCCCCCATTCCCCCTTCTTGCCTCCATCCCCCATTCCCTGCTTTCTGCCTCCATCCCCTGCTTCCTACCACCATCCCTCCATTCCCCCCTTCTTGCCTCCGTCCCCCATCCCATAGCTATCTGTGTGTGCACTCACACTGTTGGAGAGATTACACCTCAAGTGCTGATGCCTCGGGGAGCACAGAGATGAATTGGGAGTTCTTAGGCTGGAAGAATTAAGACATCCAGACAAATATGGGCTGCCTTTCAGGGCCTGAGAGATACAAGGAAATGCTGCTGGGGCCTGGAGTGGGCAGAGGCAGGGGCTCTATGGGGTGAGGTAGGCCCAAGGGAGCCGTTATGACCTTCACCTTTTCTGGGCTACAGAGGGCAGAAGTTTGGGGACCTATGAACAAAACCTGTCTCTTTGCAGACATGACCTTCATTCATGAGGGAAACCACACACTAGTGGAGAACCTCATCAACTTTGAGAAGATGGTGAGTTCAGGGAGCAGGTGTTCACTACTAACATAGGTTGGGGAACACGACTGTGGCCTGGGAAGGGGCAGGGCTTGGAGGCGGCTTAAACTTGTTATGAATAATATGAGGACGAATACTTACTGTGTAATAGCCCCTGCCTTATTCCACTGCAACTGGAAGGTCTGCCAGGGTGCCAGCCTCAGAGATCTCACGATTCAACAAAAGCTCTTCCAGCCGTCTTCTCTCTAAGCCTTTCTCACCTGGCCTCTGCCTCCTGTCCTCTGCCTGGTCCCCTCTGGGACAAAGTACACATGACCTCAGCTCTTACAGCCCCTTATCCTTGGTTCAGAGGGAGCTTGGCCTCCCTGCTGCTGCACAGGGCAGGACAGGGTTTCTCCCTCAGGCAAGAGCTCATGTCCCGGTGTTGTCCACAGAGAATGATGGCCAGAGCCGCGCGGATGCTGCACCACTGCCGAAGCCACAACCCTGGTGAGAGGGCGGGTCCCCACGGCGGGCGGTCCCCCACCCTACATCCTCTGTGAAGCTCCAGGGTGGCCCTGACTCTGTGACCCCTCCCCACCCCCCGCAGTGCCTCTCTCACCACTCAGAAGCCGAGTTTCCCACCTCCACGAGGACAGCCAGGTGGCGAGAATTTCCACATGTAAGTGGCTGGCGGTGGGGGGTGGGCGGGAGGGAGTCCTCATGGTAGTTACCCATGGCTGGCACATCCTGGGCACTTGCCATGTGCCAGGCACAGAGCCTGGCCCTTCCATACATGATGCTGATAATGTTCAGACTCTGTGCTCTGAGCCACAGGACTCTTCTGTCCCCTCACCTGTGGGGTGGGCAGGGACAGCCATCTTTAGGAATTGGTGATGGGAAGTAGTTAGTGGGTGGTGGAGAGCAAGAAGGCTCCTTGGAGGGGGAAACGCTGAGTTCCACAAAGGGATGTCGGTGCCTCCCTGACTGCTCTCCTCCACCAGGCTCGGAGCAGTCCCTGAGCACCCGGAGTCCAGCCAGCACCTGGGCTTATGTCCAGCAGCTGAAGGTCATCGACAACCAGCGGGAACTCTCCCGCCTCTCCCGAGAGCTGGAGCCATGAGGAGGGGCTGGGACTAGAGCTGGAGCAGGCACTTGTGGTCTGGAAAGCCAGGGCGTGCCGGGCCAAGATACCCACAGGCTGGCCACAGCTGAGCAGGGCTCTCTGTGCAGTGGACTCGAGTCCGTGGAGCAGGCAGCGTGGAGGCAGCCGTCCCCTGAGATGACTGGCAGCTAAGGAGGACCTCGGAGTGGACCCAAGCCGGGAATAAGGAATGACCCAAGGCCAAGGAAAGGGGGACAGAGAGGCCCCAGGAGGGGGTGGAGAGTGGAGTGCGCTGGGATGTTGTGTGCAATAGAGAGCTCTCCACACCAGGTGTTTTCCAGATTCTGTGCCTCTGGCTTTGTTGTCCAGCCAGGCCTGCAGTTTGTTTTCACAGTGGACACAGAGAGAGAGAGGCTGCATGTGTGTACCGTGTGTGGCAAGGGCAGGGCCTTGGCCTCGGGCAGGGGCCCCCTGCTTTCTTTCTACAGCATCTGAGATAAACATCGGGCAGTGGGGCTTGGGGCTGCGAGCCTGTGCAGTGGTCCCTGAGAAGCTTTATTGTTACTGTCAACATAGTCGTGTGCTCCAGGCCAGCCTGGAGGGGGCGTGGCAGGGAGGCTGAGGCCCCGCCCTCTGGGAAGGAGCTATGGAGGAGAAGCAGCCCCACGCTGGGCACGGGCCAGGCAGAGTCCAAGATCCTGATGCCACCCAGATGGGCCTCCGGGGCTCTGGCCACAGGGCGGGCTGGAGCCTGGAGCCCCTGTCAGCAGCCAGCCAGGGTGACCATAAGCTCCCCATGGTGATCCAATATGACTTTACGGTCCAGATGTAACTGGCAGCTTCCTCCCTACTACAGTCCCTGCTGCTCCACACTTGAGCTCATCCTGGCCTGTTGGGTGGTGTTCAGGCTTCTGGGGTCTTCTGGGGGTGGCTTGTGATAGAAACAATGCTGAAGCTTCCACGGAGAGCCCATCGCTTGTTGAGGCCTGACAGACTTCCAGGAAATCAGGGTTTATTATCAGTGTTGAGAATGGTCCCAGCAAGCTCTGGTCACATGAATTCCTCTCTTCCCTTCCCCTTCAGCACTTCCCCTAGGAACCAGCTACTGCAGGACCCCTCCTGCAAGGCAGAGCTCACCCAGGAAGCTCCAGGGACTCCACCCTCTTGCCTCACTATTGCCCTGAGTCCTGGCAGCAGGAGGCACTTGTCTGGCCAGAGAGAGACCTTGTGGCCCCTGGCATGACCCCTGAGTAGGTATTGAGGCCGCAGGGTCTTGGGCGTCTGGAGGCAGCTGGTTTGGCCCCTCTGCACTTCAGCTCCATGGCTGTGGATAGACAGGCCCCCTGCTTCCAGAAACGGTCAGAGCCTTTAGCAGGGAGGCAGCACAGCTGGGCTTAGACCTCAGGTCACTAAGTGAATCTGAGCAAGTCAGTGAACAGTTTTCTGCCTTCTCCACCTGTAAGCCAGATATGATAAACGCCATCCCACACTTAGTGACAAACACATGAAACAGTAGCTCCTGCCTCTGTAGCAGAGGTGACAGCCAAGGGCAGTCCTGTGCTATCTAGGTCTGGTAGCGGGGCAGCCTTGCCTCAGGTGAGGGCTGAGGGAGAGACTGAGGTGGAGCAGATGGCAGTGGTAACCAAACCAGTTCCCTTGCCTTGGGTGGGGACAGAGGAGAAGCATGGAAGCATCCAGAACTAAGCAATCAGGACAGGAGGCTCAAGCCTGGGTGAGTCAGGAGTCCAGGGGCTTTCTTCTCTTCCAACCCACTGTCTGCTGGTGTCTCGGCAAAAGCCAGCCACGGCCCTTCGCCATCCTTCAGACTCCAGGGTGAGCCCAGCCCAGCGACACAACAGAAACCAAGCGCCATGGGGGCTGGTGTCCTCCACCAGCATTTCTCCTCTGGTCACATCTATGTCCTGATGGGACTTCTCCCTCCACTTTGGACCATCAGCTTTACGGTCCAGACCACCCTGCAGCCACCCTGCGGCCCCCCAGCTGCCCCAGTCTCTTGGGCAGGATGCCTTTTGAGCCTGTTGGGAGAGGCCTTGCCAGGAGAACAGTGCCCGGGCAGGCAAGAGGACACAGTCTTTGGGAGCCAGAAGAGCTGCGGCCCAGGGGGCCGGGCCACTCCCAGAGGACAGGAAGCCCAAAAGCAGGGAAAGGCTCCGTGTTACGGTGGCCCCATGCTCGGAGGCTGTGCTGCCTTCTCTCTCCCTGACTGCCCAGGCATGGGGTGGCGCGGGGCAGGAGGCATCCTCTGGTGTTCCCTAGTAGCCCGGGGTGTGTGCAGGGGCTCCCATTTTGTGTCTCAGTTGCAGGAAGGCCACGAAAGGAGGAGGGGCTCATGGGACTGCTGAGAGGAAGGTGTGAAGAAAGGGAGTGTGGCCCTACATCAGTCCTTCAAAAAGCCTCTGTTACCTGAAAGGAGATCAAGCAGAGAGGAATGGTTGCGTGTGTCCTACTGGGCAGGACAGGACAGAGGGAGGTCGTTGTTACACACACATCTCCCCCTCCTTTCCTCCTTCCCCTCCACTTCCCTGTGAAGGCCTGGGGCAGGCTGTGGCCAGGCTCAGGCCCTGACTGTGGGGTACACACCAGGGAGGGCCACGCCTCCCCACAGAAGGGGTGGAGTGGTCAGTGGAGCCAGCACCCTCTGCTGCTTCAACATCTCCGCCTGGAGCCAGCTGTCCCCTCTCTCCCAGGCTCCATCCGAACAAAAGGAAGGCACAGCCTGAGATCCGGCTCCCCATACCCCTCCATTCAGCACTCAGTTAGAGCTGGGTGGGGGCATGCCTGCCTTCACACGCTGCCTTATGGCTTTTGTGTCCCCAACAGCCCTCAGCCTCTGGCTGCTCTCCTTCCCAATAGTCACAAGATTTACCATGATAATAATAGGTTAAGACTTGAATAGTGTTTTCATCCTCTTTCATCTTCACTCTGTCTCACGTTATCTTATTTTTATCCTGATGACAGAATAGGTACTACAGGTATTTTTACCCTGGTTTTACAGTCAAAGAAACTGAGGCACAGGTAGGTTTGCCCAAGGTCACATTACTGCTTAATAGCAGGGTAGACAGGTGAAGTAACTGGATATATATCAGCCATGCCCTTTCCCCATGCCCCCGGCACTCCCTATGACAGCTCCCTGAATCCCAGCATTTTATTCTATTGTAGGATTAGACCCAAGCATATAAATTCCTTTTTCCCTCTCTCCATTCCCACATCCTTTTATTTTCACATACTTACTATAGGCCTTGTAGGGGCTCTGTGAACAAGACAAAGGCCAGGTACAGTGGCTCATGCCTGTAATCCCAATGCTTTGGGAGGCTAGGCGTTTTGAGACCAACCTGGGCAACAAAGCAAGACCCGGTCTCTATAAAAAATAAAAATGACCCGGGTATGCTGGTGTGCACCTGTAGTCCTAGCTACTTGGGAGGCTGAAGTAGGGGGAATCACTTGAGCCCAGGAGTTCGAGGTTACAGTGAACTGTAACTGCACTCGTCCTTTCTTTGGTTGACAGAGAAAGACTCTGTCTCTAGAAAAGAAAAAACTAAGACTGGTAGTTCTGGCCCTCATGGGACCAATCATCCAGCTAGGCAGCCAAGTCCATCAGTAACAGAAGATGCTGAGGGATGAAGTCCAGAGCAGCAGAATCCCAGGGCCGCGGCATCTCAGTGCCTACCCTAAGCATTGAGGCCCAGAGCTGCTCCCGTCGGAGCATAGGTTCATAGCCCCAGCTCCTCTGAGCCCTGCATAGCTCTGTCCCCTGAGATGGGGGTGCTCTCCCCTTACCACTGGCACAAGCCACCTGAGTAGCAGGCAGGTATGGTGGCTGATGGCTGCAGCAAATTCCGACCTGGCAGTTGTCCTCAGCCCCTTTCTCCCTTCCACAGACCTATAGGCCAGAGAGTACACGTCTTTCCAAAATGTGTCCTAGTACCCCAACCCACACTCAGTATTGAGCCCCTCCTACATTGGCCAGGCCATGGATCTATACTAAGTAAGTGTCCACCCAGGCCTGTCCAGTTGCTGCAGCCAATTTAGGCACCCTCCTCTCAGATTCTGGACTCTTCAAGACCTGAGCCGTAGCCTTCTTGCAGCACAGTCTGCTAGCATCTGAGGGTGAAGGGGCTTGCAGGCCAGGACACAGGTGACTGCCGTCCCTCCCAGTGATGATAAAACTGGATCATCCTGAGAAGCTGAGTCTGACTCAGCTGCACTTAGAAACAGTCTTCTCTCCCATGCGTGGGGACCTTCCTAGAGCAGGTGCCTCGATGGGGCCAGGGGAGGATGCTGCTGGTGGTAATTGGTAGAACACAGAGGAGCCTGGTGACTCCCAGAAGATAGAAGGTTAAGCTCACAGCTTGGACCCACTTTTTGTGCTAGGAGGTGTGGGATTCTGGTTGTGCGTGTGCATGTAGATTCTGACCAGTGTGCACCCTGGACCAGGGAGCTGGATGCTTCAAGCTTCACCCTGACTCTGCCTGCCTTGCTCTTGGCCCTTGGAGAGCGCTCGGGTCTTGGTTTTCTCACTGGAGTGAGTTGTAGGCAGCTAGAGCTGTTTTGGACTGCTGAATGGAGGGCTGTACTGGCTTTCCTGGCACTTAGGTGATCCTAGCCTAATCCTAGAGAGGTAGAGACAGGGTGCCTTTTTAGGGGGCCAGGACAACAGGATATTTTAAACTTACTTGACCACCCAGAAAAGTGTCCTGTCCACCAGAGTATAAGGCAGCATAGGGGATCCCATAGGTGGGCAGTGTGCTGGGGCAGAGGAGCCTCTGTCTCTCAGTAGCCCTGGGCAAGGCAAGTGCCTTCCTCTCCCTGGGCCTCACTTTCCCCATTTAGAAACAGGAATTTGGATGAGAGGTGCTTGAGGATCTATGAATTCGGCAACTCAGGGTGTCAAAAGGGCCCCTTTAAGCATCTTCCCAGTGGTGGCTTCCAGCCATGACTGCTCATGGGAGGGATAGTGAGCTGCAAGCACTGTTTCATTGGAAGGGTTCTCAGAGCTCCCTACCCCTGAGTGTTGCTCCCTGCTACCTGCCTGAGTGCATGACTGCTTGCCTTCTACTCTTTGAGTTCTAGTTGTCAGTAGAAGGCCCCTGTTATATAGATACATAAGTTGGGAAGATTCTAATGGCCCAATTGTAGATTCCAATTAATATTTCTAATGGTCACTTTTAAAAGAATGGAAAAAGAAGAGCCTCAAGGCAATGGCGTTAGGGGAATTTCAATGGCATGATCAGGTGGCAAGGTCCAGAGATGATTACTTGGGTGGGAGAGTGTTACGGGGTCCTGGGAAACGGCATCCAGGGTGGGAATCAGAGGGAGAGGTAGGTGGCCAGTTTCACCCTTTCAGCCTTGCTGGGGCTGAGTCCTGCAGGAGCAACCTGTGTGCTGGAGGGAGAGCCTGCACATGCAGGCTGGACTCTGGTGGCCCAGGGAGAAGGTCAGCAATCTTTGTTTCTCTTCTCTGGTTCTTGACTCCATGCCAGGCAGCTGTGGATAATCTCATTAAATAGAGCACAAGGCTCGGGAGGCTGAGCCATGGAGTTGCTGCTCTTAGCTTAGCCCCATTGAAGCTTTTAGCTTCTCCCAGAGTAAAGCACTCTTCCTCAGGCTGCAGGACACAGCCCCAGAAAACGGGTGGTTCCTTTTGGCACCAAACCAGGTGAGTTAGACGGTGCGACTCATCAAAGGGCCATCCCCAAGACTTGAAAATACTGAGGGTGCACATGTTTTAAATGAAAATATATCTTTGGAATTATAAAATAAATATTACATCATAAAGACTGTAGATTAGAGAAACTGCCACCTTCTCACTATTGTCATTTTCAGAACTTTTTTTTTTTTTTTTTTTTTGAGATGGAGTCTCGCTCTGTAGCCCAGGCTGGAGTGCAGTGGTACGATCTCGGCTCACTGCAAGCTCCACCTCCCGGGTTCACGCCATTCTCCTGCCTCAGCCTCCCGAGTAGCTGGGACTACAGGTACCTGCCACCATGCCCGGCTAGTTTTTTGTATTTTTAGTAGATGGGGTTTCACCATGTTAGCCAGGATGGTCTCAACCTCCTGACCTTGTGATCTGCCTGCCTTGGCCTCCCAAAGTGCTAGGATTATGGGCGTGAGCCACCGTCCCTGGCCCAGAACATTTTTATTTGTATTTTTAATTTTTATTTCTTTGAGACAGAGTCCTGTTCTGTTGCCCAGGCTGGAGTACAGTGGTGAGATCTTGGCTGACTGCAGCCTCTACCTCCCAGGTTCCAGCAATTCTCCTGTCTCAGCCTCCTGAGTAGCTGGGATTACAGATGTGCATCATCATGCCCGGCTATTTTTGTATTTTTAGTAGAGACGGGTTTTTACCATGTTGGTCTGGCAGGTCTCGAAGTCCTGACCTCAGGTGATCTGCCTGCCTCAGCCTCCCAAAGTGCTGGGATTACAGGTGTGAGCCACTGTGCCCAGGCAGAAAACATTGTTAATATTCATTTTTCAGGCCTTTCCTAACCATCCTATCTAAATTACACCCTTTGTGGCCCCCCGTTTTTTTTTAAACAAACATCTGGTCTTATGTATTAGGCACTGTTCTAAAACCTTTGCAAGTATTAACTTATTCTATCCTCACCATTGCCCTCTAAGGTACTCTTACTTGTTCTATTTTAGATCTACAGGGGAAATTGAGGCACAGAGGGGCGAGGGAACTTGCCCAGGGTTGTACAGCTGGTGAGTGTCAGAATTGGGATTCAAACCCAGGCAGCTTGGCTTTAGAATCAACAGTCTGAGCTTCGTGTCCTGCTGCCCAGATCTGGCTGTAGATGCTCTTTATGTCTTTCTTTCCCTCCAGCTGCTGAGCTGCTCACTCTTTATCCACTTTGCTTATCACAGTGTCTGGCACAGAGTCACACTCAAGTGCTATTTGTCAGGTGAATGAAGGAATGATGAGAAAGGGGGAATTTCCCATAACCCAACTACCTTAGCACAATAATTATGGTAATTTTGATAGATTGTAGATTTCAAATCATGGGTCAGGAACTGCTCCTGCCAGTCCTGTTGTCCCGTCATCGTCTTTCAGGCCAGAACAGCCCAGCTGCGCCAACATACCTGGGGCAAGAGGCAGCCCATGTTCCTCATGCCAGCGGCCAGCTGTGGGTTGGCCTCGGGCCTGTGTCTCCTTTGATCTTGCCCTTACTCACTCCCTCGCTGTCTCTCTGAGCCTCCTTATCGCCGTCTGCCTGTCTTGTCCACCTCTCTTTGTTCTCATTGTGCCTCTACACGCTCTTTAAAACCACTGGAGTTTGAGGACATGCAATAGTAATTTTCTAATCGTTACTGGGCAGTGTAAAACAAATATTAGCACAGCTGGCAAAGAGTGTAGGCAGGTGGTTCCTTTGGGATCCTAAAAAAGCAGGATACAGCTGAGAACTCTGTGACATCGTAGATTCAGAAACTGCTGGAACTATCCAATCCCTGTGGTGGCTGCCCCTTGTAGGGGTGGTGCCAAGGGTGGCTTGGGGGTTTAGGGCCTCCTAAATTTCCATTAGGCCCCAACAAATATACAATATAGCTAAAAAAAAAAAAAAAAAACCAGTGTATTTGTTACGAAAACGCAACTTTGAGATGAGTCTCTAGACCCCACAGTCCCCCTTTGGATAAACTCTGGAGCTTCACAGCTGCCAGAGATCCATTTGCTGTCCTCTGCTTTGCTAACCATCTTCACTGAGTCTTTAATAACAAGTGGGGCTGGAAGGCTGACCAGTGCCCTGATTCATTTTCATATTGAGTCATTGCAGGTCCCAGGCACAGGTTGATAATTATCTAACTGTTAGATTCTAACACACATTGGATGGCAATATAAAGGATCCATGAGGCAGGGTCCCCTTCTCAAAGAACTTCAGAGGAAAAGTTAAATGGCAGTGCAGGGGTTAACTGACACCATGTTGGCAGCAACTGATGATCAGAGATGACTGTGCTGTGTCAAAGGCACACAGAACAAATATGCACAACCGAGTTCATAGGCAGGAGAGATCCTGTGGGCTGGAGAGAGGAGGTCAGGCTTTGTGGAAGAGTGAATTTGCCCTGGGGTTGGAGGATGAGTAGGAGCTGGACAGCTGAGCAGAGAGGGTGGGGGAGGGTGTTCCAGGCTGAGGACCAGCATGGGGTGTGGCTGGCAGAACTAGAAGCGCAGCATGGGACTATGTGATGAGTGGGCCTAGTTGGGAGGTCTGACGGATATGCCCAGCCCAGGCAGTGAGTGTGATGCTGATGTCAGGGCTGCCATGCTAACCGATGTGGGAAAGAAATCACACACGGAGCTGCTTCTAAGACACATTCAGTAAGATCAGACATGGGTGACCATCCTGCGCTTCTATCCTGTGGGCCAGGGCAGCGCTCCCAAGGAGAACCAGCATCTTCAGGTGCCAGGGTCCCTTTGGGAGGTGAGTCTGGGCCTCGCCTGTGATGGGCCAGCTGCAGGGTCCTTCTGCACTCAGGTCCTTTGCTGAAATGATGTGACCTTGGTTTTGCAGGAGGGCGAGGATGGTAGAATAGGCTGGCCTGGGCAGATGTCCCTTTTAGTTGTCCTCTGGGTAGTCTCTCTCATGGTCTGTTGATCCTGATAGACATCGTGGTAGCCCAGAGATGAATGAGGCCTACTTCAAACAATGGCCTAATGCTGAGGCTTATCTGGCCTCAGTCCCACCAGAAACCAATCAGTTCCAGGAAGAGTTTTTCAGCCTGGCCTGAACCCTGCCAGTCCAATAACAGCATAGCCCCTGGCATGTGGTGAGCACTCGATAAATATTTAGCTGATGGAATTCCCACTCTGTACATCTCTGACAGCTGAGTGCCTCCCAAATCCTTGCCCAAGCAGCCTCACCCTCTTCCTCACTCTCCAAACCTTCACAGAGGCCACAACTGCACCATCTCTGTTGCTATTCTCATCATCGAGACACCATCTACCATGCTTCTCCCTCCACTCTGTCCCTACCCCAGCTCTCCAGGACCCAGCCTACTGCGATTCCCAACTTGCTGGCTGGTCCCACTGTGGCTTCTTGGGAAGTCTGCAAGGATGGAAAGCCCATGTGAGTACCTAATGGCATGGAGTACTAAGAAAGAGGAGCAGCAGAGTTCTTGGTCCAGAACAGGCTAGCAGGGAAGAGAAAGCTGTCTGAAATCTATCTTAATGTATCTGTGTGTGTGTGTGTGTGTGTGTGTATACACATATATGGACATCTAAGTTTATGAGGCATCTTTGCATGAATATATATTGATATCTTTTCATTTATTAACTTAATGGATTTTTTCTGCCTTCGTCAGCATGTCTTTGGTTATAAAATCTGGGGTTTGGGAATCTGATCTGCGAAGAGGGAGCATGAGCAGCCGTGAGAAGGCATATCCCAATTCCCCACCCCTCAACCCTCAGCACCAGAGGCATTGAAGGAGAGGCAAGACAAGCACTTAGGGTTGTTTAGGGAGTTGCGACATCCTATGAGAAGTGGAACTAGATGACAATTGAGGTCCCTTTAATTCCAGTGAATTTAAATCTAGACTGCTTTGTACAGTAACCAGACATGATTAAGTGGTGGTTGAAAGTGTGATGTTGTGGGGCAATGGAGCAACAGTGCTTATGAGAATGACCCCTGGTCAGATGGATCTGGGTTGAGGCTCAGCTGCATAACTTAATGATTGTATGCTTCTGGGCACGTCTCCTAGCCTTTCTGTGCCTCAGTTTCTTCATCTGTAAAATGAGGACAGCAATAATACCTATTAAGGTTGTAGTAAGAATCAATGAGATAACACATATGATAACACACGTGGTAAGTGCTCAGTGAATGTTGCTGGTGGTTGTTAAGGCTGTTATTCTTGTTGAAGGATGCAGTTTTAAACACTTCGGTCCTCAGATGAACCATCTGGCTCTATGGAGTCAGACTTAACTGTCTTCCCAGCTCCCATCCTTGCTCCTGACCTAAAATTCCACTAATGGGGGGAAGAGCTCCTGCCCTCAAAACACCATCCCATAGCCAGTTCAGCTGGACACCAGGAGAACCTAGCCAGGCTGCACTCCACTCTGACAGCTTTGGCTTCAGTTAGGGTCCACCCAGCTGGACACTTGGAAGGGACAGACCATTCAATCCCAAATTCTGAGGCATCATCGCTTCCCAGGCCAGCCAGTGACACACTCCTTTGTCCCCTAAACAACAGGAGTCAGAGATATGTTTATGTGGTGCCAATCCAGGGAGGATGAGGATTCTGATGGGCAGTGACTCTGCAGCCTGCTTTTAGGTTGTGTAAATGAAACTTATGCAAATGAAGCAGCCATTTCTGCTCTTACTCCCTATAACCAGCTTCCTTCTGGGAGAGAAGGGCCAGGCTCACTCTTTAGTTGTCCTTCCGGGCCGGATGCAGTGGCTCACACCTGTAATCCCAGCACTTTGGGAGGCCAAGGTGGGTGGATCACCTGAGGTCAAGAGTTTGAGATCAGGCTGGCCAACACGGTCTCTACTAAAAATACAAAAGTTAGCCAGGTGTGGTGGTGCATGCCTATAATCCCAGCTACTTGGGAGGCTGAGGCATGAGAATTGCTTGAGCCCAGGAGATGGAGGTTGCAGTGAGCCGAGATCACACTGCTGCACTCCAGCCTGGGCGACAGAGAGATTCCATCTCAAAAAAAAAAAAAAAAAGAAAAAAAAATATATATAGCACTTACGGTGTGAGCCCTTACAAAGGTTGCTTGCCCTAGGCTTGTCCTTCTCTCTACCCCTGAGTCCCTATGTTTGGACTCCTCTCTGCACAGCAACAGGTTGGGGGATTCTCTTAAACCCACCAGCAACTGTTCAACCTGGCGCGTGGGCAGGAAACCTCGAGATTAAAATCTGATAACCTGGAAGGGATTGTCAGATCCAACCCCATCATTTCAGATGAGAAAGCCGAAGACCAGCGAGAGGAAGAAACTTCTCCTGTTAAAGCACACTGGATGAAGACGTGCTCCACTCCCAACCTCCAGAAAAAAATCACTGATAGAGTGGCCTCCACTGTTCACCAGTTTTGCCTTTGTATATGATATTTTCTTTTCTGAGAGGGTTGAGAATCCCCATGCAGTGCTCTTTCTGGCAAGGGCATCATACTTTGCAGATTTTACCTTTATTATCGTGGAAAACTTGACAGTCACGGGGAGCTGTTCCTCTTCTTTTGGACTTGGAAACAAAAGAACCTCACTGGGGAGGAGTTCTTGAGGAGAGGAGTGTAAGTGGGGGTGAAGGGAGCGAAACCCTGGGCTCCCAGGGGAAGAAGAGTGGGCCTTCAGTTGCCTTTAAGAGGCCTCTTGCCCCTCCCCTGCCTCATAAGGAATCTGAAACATTTAAACCCCAGAGGCTGACTCAATAAGAGTCATTTGCATAATATTTTAGGGTGATTTAGCCATGCGCAGCTACATGTGGCTGATTTAGCTATGCTGGGCTTGGTGGTAATAAGAATAGCCCTGGTTCTGACAGACACATCCTATATGTCTCTGTCCAATGACCCCAACCCTTGCTTGGGCACTTAAACTGCTTGTCAAACTTGGACCAATCACCTTACTGTGTGCCAGTGTCATGCTAAGCATCAGGAATTTGAAGATGAATCCAACCTGTGGCCCCTTGGAAAGTCAGGTCTGAGACTTGGAAGTAGGTGTCTGTTTGGTGGGGATCACCCAGAGATCAGCCCATAGGTGTCCCTAATTTGGACAAAGAACCCCCCCCAACTGGACCCATCTTGGTGTGCCTGCCTGCATGACCTATTTTTAAAGCTGCAAACAGCTAGCATTACCTGTTCTCAACATCTGGCATTACCTGCCTGCTTAGTCACCTTCCCTCAGGCTTCAAACAGCTGTAGGGCCCCACCTCCTATCCATCTAGGGTCCCTCCCTTCCATTTTTCTTCCTGAAAGGATCTGGAGACACCAGCTCTACAAGTCCTGGTGTCTTTAAAAGGATCAGCTTGAGGAATAAGGCTCATTTGAGAGCTGTGACATTCATCTGACTCTAGTGAAAGTACAACAGCCACTCCCTTTTTGGCCTCCAGCTGGGCACCATGAGGGCCTGCATCCCCCTGGTATTGGCCGTGCTGTGCAGCCTGGCCTGGGCTGGTAAGTCACTATCTGCCGGGCATGGGATTGCTGGCAGGGCGGGATCTTGCCTAAAGAAGCAGAGAATTGGGGAACTGGTAGAGGGCAGGGCTATGGGACAAGGGAGGGTAAGCTCTGTTCTAAACCCACAGAACTCTTTTGGGTTGTCCTTGTCTGAGGGTGCAGGTGTTGTTCCTGGAATGGATTGGACTATGTGGAGAGAGTTGTAGGGCTGATGGTCTGATTTCATGGAAGTCCCTTCTTGACACCTTGGAGGATCAGCCCCAAACGTCCCTTAGTCCAGCCTGACTTTTGATCTCCCCAAGATTTTGTTGTCTGGGGCCACTGTATGGTATAAAGCTAGGGCTGGGTTCCATGGGGTCTAGTGGCCTGGCTGCTCTTGGTCACTCCTTCCACTGCCCGGTGACAGGTGAGGTTGTCTAGGGTGTGATCTTACTTTGTGTAGTGCCTTAGGAGGTGGGCAGGCTTAGGAGGAAACTGGAAGGATCCTTAACCAGGAGGTGGGCCACGTCCTATCTGGGGCTGTACAGGGGTCAGAGGAATGGATCTCTGTTGCAGTGTTAGGGGAATTAAAGAATAGAGAAGGGACCTGGCCCACAGTTATAAGAGGTTCAGGGGATGGGACTGGCAGAGGAACAGGACCATGTTCTTGTTTAGTAACTGTGCAAAATGCTGGTGCTGATGTGTTAATTGGTAGCTAGTGGGCGGGTGGGAAGGACTGCCAAGGGAGGGGCTGAGCTGAGGAGTGTGGGGAGAATCCTCCTCTGCCCACAGGAGAAACAGTCTTTCCACTGGGTTACTCCTGTATGGGACTGTGGAAAGGATTAAATGAGATAATGTATGAGAAGCACCTGGTGCAAAGTGAGATCTCAGTGAATTGGAAATTTGCTATGATTATGACTATAAATATTCTTGGGACAAACTTCCACTTGGGGTCATTTCCAATGGGGTTGTGGAAAGGAAACCCCTAATGGGATTTTTAAATGGAAAACCCTTGGAAGAAAAAGTTGTGCCTCTCAACCGTGGATGAGATAGTGCACCTTACCAGGAACCAGCTCTGCCTGGGCCCTACTGGTGGAGAGGGAGTGGGAGAGCATGAGGGTGGGCCTGGGAGCCACTGGCCTCAGCCCTGTTGGTGGGGAGGAAGGTGGAACCTGGGGGGGCTTAATGTGGAGGGGTGGCCAGCAGGCTTGGCATATCCCAGCCTTAGGAAAGGAGAGCAACTCTGGACATTTGGTCCCTGGGAGGACATCCCTGAGGGCAGAGGTAGCAGTAACTTTAGAAGTGCAGGTGGAGCTCTTGCTGCTGGGTCAGAGGGCAGTATCTGCTTCGTCTGTGGGATGGATGGGAAGTGAGGTCAAGTGTGTGAGGCCTCCTATGGTGGCAGAGAAGAGGCTCTGCACTTGTTGATACTATCTCAACATCTCAGAACTGAGAGGCAAGAATATGAATCACACAGGGAATCATTGACAGCCTCAGGTCCTCCTTTATGAGCTGGATGTCTGTGGAGAACCTTGGTTGATTTTTTTGGTTGTGAATGGAGGCAGGAAGCTAGTCCAAGGGGTGAGGCTTCTTGGTTGACTAGGTCTCCATGGAAACAGCATCTGGGGCCTTCTGAGAGGTAGAATGTCCCAGTCATCAGAGGGGCTGAGCGCCAGTGTACAGGGACACTGTGTCCACCCAGGCTTGGGACCAAGCTTTCTTGATGGCCAGTATGGATAGGGAGTGGCTGTTCTGGCATATTGAAGTCTTAGAAAGTACAGAGAAATTGAGCATTTCATAGGGACTAGAGGAAGAATCTGAACCCAAGAGAGGAAAGACTCAAATGAAGAAAGGCAGAGAGTCAGAGAGGTGAGGCAGAGGAACAAGAGGCACAGGTTACTAGAGCAGTGATTCAGGTACCTGGCTTGGGGAGCAAGGCTTACTCAAGAGTATTGGTGTCAATGGCACAGTGTGGGGGTGCTGGAGTGAGTTAGGGTGACTAGTTACTCATCAGAGTGTCCCCAGAACGTCACGGCAAAGTGCCTGTGAGGAAAAGTTCCTCCCACCCCTGCCCTCCACCGTCAAATCCCAAGGTCACCTTGAAGCAGACCAAGTGCACAGAGAAATGTGAGAAAGTGCTGGCATGAGGCTCTTGCTGGAGACAAAGTTTTTGAGCAGAGATGAAAAAGCCCACTCAGCTTGGGCCGGCGGGGGTGCTCTCCTGCACGTCCAGCTGACTGCTCGCTTGCAACCCTTCTCAACTGGTGCCAGCTGCTGGAATGAAGTGAATTCTTTCCCTGGACTCTGCTGATTTGGCCCATTAAAAACATTGCCCTGATTTGCCTGAATTCTCTCCCTTTGGATTCTGGGTGTACTGCCAGGCTGACTGAGTAGGGAGCTGATGGGCTGAAAATTTCTCCTTAAGATCTTTGCATTCAGGCTCCAAGGGAGCATCATTTAACATTCAAGAGGAGTTCCTGTGGGCCTGAAGGAACAAGTGGCCTTGGGCCTGGTCTCTTTTAGGAACTGGAAACCTGCCTTCCTGGCCACCTTGGAGGCCTGACAATGCGAAGTTGTCTGAAGACCTGGGTTAACCTTGACCCGATGCCTCTCTGATATAAAAGAATACAGACCCGTAGTGATGAAGTCAGCCAGGAAACCCGCAACACAGATGTGCTGACAACCCAGCCCAAGGGATGGCCCTGTTGAAACCCTGGGAGAGTGTCAGCTAGATTAAGTGTGTCAATAGGGCCACCACACAGGAAAGACTTCTCCACCCAGTCTGAACACTTGTTACTTGGAAGATGGGCATGAAATATTGCCACCGTTTATTCACCTAACAAATACTTCTATAGTACTACTATGTGTCACTTGCTGTCCTAAGTGCTTTACACATATTAACTCATTTAATTCTTATAAATATTCTATGAGATAGGCTCCATTATCATCCCACTTTTACAGATAAGAAAACCAAGGCACAGAAGTTTAAATAACTTGCCCAAGATCACATAGCTAGAAAGCAGTGGAAGCAGAATTCCAACCTCAAGCAGTTTGGCGCCAGAGTCTAGGTTCTTAACCTCTCTGCTATGCCGTCCCTCATTAGACACAGTATCAACCCTAATCCCAGAATCCAACACTAGGGACTGGTAACTAAACCCAACCTCTAATATTTGAGCTCTAACCACTTCAGGCTTAAATTAAGATACTATACCTGTGTTGAATCATAACCAGAACCAAGCCCCCAAACAAAACAGGGATTATTCATCTTTTCTCATCCTGACACATTCCTCAACCCCGAATGTCATCTTAAGTCTATTCCTGTTCCTTACCCAAATATCAATACAAAATTGTTAATTTATCAACTAATTTAACTCAAGCCCAAATCCTAACTGTAGTTCTTAACCTAACTAACCCCAACCCTGGTCCAAATTAGGTTTCAGTTTCCTCACTGATACAAATTCTGATGCCGATGGTAACTCTGACTCTGATCTTGGCATTCTCTGTAACCCACAGTATGACCTCTGAAGCCAGCGTTCGTGAAATCCAAACCTCAGGAACCTCAAATCGAACAAAGACTCTTATCACCCTTAAAGCCCAGAGTGGATAGTGGGTTTCCACTGTTCCTTCAAAATGTCTTGTCTTACGTCCCTTGCGACCAAAACCTTGCTTCTGCAAACCATTTGGCTGCAGTGGGGGATGTGGTCTGTGGTTACACAATAGAATGCTAGGCCAGAGCCCAATTCTCACCCGTACCCACCTCATTCCCCACCCTGAGCATAAATTAATCTGAATGTACTCCAAAGATGGGAAATAACAGAAAGATGTGACACAGGGGGAAAGAGGGTACAGAGAAGACACATGAAGGGGAGAGAAGAGCAAAGAAGCAAAGAACATAACAGGGATGGGATAAGAGCCCGGGGAAGGTCAGAGGGCAGGGGACATCCCTGGGACAGCATCTACATGATAGGTGAAGGGGGCCTGTGGGCCACACCCAGTTCACAGACCTATTGCTTTGGTGTGCTTAAAGTTTTACATGGTTGGAAAATTTCACATCAAAATGAAGATTTATCTTGAAAAAAAAAATGGGAGCTCTGGCAACACTGAGCCCACATCCCAACATGGCAACAATCAGCTGGAGCTGAGCATCAGCTGTGAATTTCAGATGGAGCATTGCTCTCAAGCTTGTCACAGTCTCCATTTCTTCCTACTGCCTCAGACCCTGCTTCTTTACTTGTTTATGTTCTGGGCCTAACCCAAATGCCGATTTGGGTTTGTAATCCTGGTCTCTTTGATAAGCCTTGAAATATTTGGTGGGTGTTGGGCAGTGGGGAGGCTTATGTTGTGCACGGGAGGCTGTGGATGTACTTCTCCCTTGCAGAGAGTAATGCCCTTCCCTGCCAGGTACACTCCTGTCCTGATCTGTGAACCCTCCTGTAGGAGGCACCTTGGGGAGGAGAACAGGGTCTCCATAGAGCTGAGTTTGTGACCTTTACTGACTATAGGAAAAATGGAATCCTGTGCATCTCGATGTAATGAGAAATTTAACCGGGACGCTGCCTGCCAGTGTGACCGCCGGTGTCTCCGGCATGGGAACTGCTGCGAAGACTACGAACATCTGTGTACTGGTGAGCCTCCTTGTGAGACGAAGGCACGTCCAGCCTGTCTAAGGGGCCATTGGCCTGGGTGTCCAGCAGGCCAGAGCAGCGTTCAGAGCTGACAGGGGCTCTAAGGATCTGGACAGAAAGCACCGAGAGACAGAGGCAGGGTCAGGACTTTGGCCACCACTTTTCTCAGGTTTTCTAGGATGCCCCCAACTTAAAATACAGTAGATGTCATTTACCTAGAATTCTGTCTGAACTATCAGTATTAACAATATCTTGAAAGTTTAAGTACCAAATTCTAAAAAAGGGTAAAATGATAAAAATAATATTTTAGTATGTATGACATTACTAATTGTTATTCAACAATTTAAATCACAAAAATGTGAAAATGGTAGCAAACTCTCACAACTCGTGTACCGCCAGGAAGACTGCATGGTGTCATCACAGTGACGGACACGATTCATACCACTCTTCCTCTAGTGAAGGGACCACATGGCACAACATCTCCATACCGTCATTTCCAGCCCACCAATTAGAACAGGACATGCGCCACCTTTAACTGCATAGTTTTAAATGAATACTTGAAAAAAATAATGTATGAATCATCAAATTGTTTAGGTGCTTCCAATGTTGTCAACTCCCAGATTAATGATCTTCTGCTTTGTCACATCATTACCTAACGTGGCTTCAGTGAGCATGTTTTCACAGCTGGGAGTCAGAGTGCATGGATTGCCAGCACTTAGAACATAGCCTGACACATAGTAAGTGATCAGAAGATGTTTGCTGACTGAAGAATAACTTGACTGGTAGTTCTGATGGTAATAACTTTTCAGTAAACTCACTAGTAGATTCTGAATCACTTTGTCACAGTATTGTTTGTTGGGTGTATGGAGGGGTTGGGGGGGTATTATTCCACTGTGTGATGAGAGAGGAACTCAGAGTCCCCAGGAACATTTCTCCCTGCCACACCACCGCCAACCTCAAATCCACCCTTCTCTGCCCAGAGCTGAGCTACAGTCACTCAGCTTGCAGGTGAAGGGAGTGGGGCAGCAATAGGAATGTGCTTTTCTGAACATGCCCTTTCCCTAGACACAGTCTTTGTGGCCATTTCCAAGTGGGGCAAAGAAAGAAGGGAAGTTGGAATCTCAGGAAACAGCTCTTATTCCTTGAGGCCCTGAGAATTTACCCTGAACTCTGATGAGAAGTTTTCCTAGGTACAGGATGTTCCTAAGTGAGGGCCTTGTCATTAGGACAGCATCAAGGCTCTATCCATCTGTCAACTTTTGTTAAATCGGAGGTTTCATCACCGAAATCAGAGTTTTCAATCCAGATGTGTCACCTGGGGAAATTATTTTCCTTTTTTATAAGTTTCCTATAATGTGTCTTCCATTGGAAACATCTTCCATTTTCTGTTTTCATCCTCATTATTTGGTGCCCGTCCTTTGGACCCCAGCCCCTGGTCGGGATTTGCACCCAGTGCCCTTGCTTGTCCCCTGAGGCTGGGGGAGCAGAGAACTAGAAACCAAGCAGCAGGGGAATTCTCAGGTTATTGGTGATTTTATTTTTCTATTTACCTGCAGAGGACCACAAAGAGTCAGAGCCATTGCCACAGCCGGAGGAAGAAACAGAAGAGGCCCTCGCCAGCAGTGAGCCTACCTCCCCAAAGGGGGGCCCTCAAGATAAAGCAGGAGGGACATGAGGGTGACAAGGAGGGGTGGCCATGGCAATGGCACCAGGCAGAGGCCTCAGCCAGATGAGAGAGGCTTGTTGGACTCTGGGAACCTGGGCAGGAAGAAGCCTGGTGGGGCTCAGCCAGCCTGGGGGGGCTATGGGGGGAGGGTAGCTAGGAAAGAGAGCCTGAGGCCTGGAGAGGGAAGTGGAAGAGATTTTATTTTTAGAATGGGAAGATTAGAAAAACAGCATGCCAGAAAGTAAAGATCGGCATCAGAAAGGACTTCCTGACTGTGAAGGGTGTGCACGAATTAGGCTTGTTTGTTTTCCTTCCCTGGAGATCTTTGCTGGGCAGAGTCAAGAGAGCCAGGCTAGGGAGGGACGGCCTGCGGGGTGTTCAGAGCGACCTCTAGAGGTCAGCCCGGGACACACCTCCCCTCTCTTCTCAGACTTGTACTCGGCACCCACCTCCTGCCAGGGCCGCTGCTACGAAGCCTTCGACAAGCACCACCAATGTCACTGCAATGCCCGCTGCCAAGAGTTTGGGAACTGCTGCAAAGATTTTGAGAGCCTGTGTAGTGACCACGGTTAGTCTTCTGCTCCCTTAGCTAAGCTGCAGAGACAGAAGGACTCTAGAGCAGGTTCTCAATGTGTGGTCCCTGGACCAGCAGCAACAGCAATGTCTGAGAACTTGTTAGAAATGCAAACTCTGGGGCTTCACTCTTGGCCTACTTAATCAGAAACTCTGGAGGTGGGACTCACTTTCCTGGTCTACCAGGGCCTCCAGGTGATTCTGATGCATGCCCAAATGTGAGACTCCTCCTAGGGGGAAGGGGCCGGGGGACATTCTGTGGGCAATGCCTGTGCTGATTTTACAGGTCCTTTAGGCTCTGGGCTACCACTAGGGTGTCCAACTGTGGCTCCCCTCTGTCCATGCTGGCTTCTTGAAGGTGCCCAGGAGGGGATGCACACAGACAATTTCCTGCCCGACCCCGCTTCCCTCTGGCTCTGAGGCCACCCCTCTCCTAATTCCTCCCAGAGGGCTTCTCCCACAGCAGTGATGCCATAACCAAAGAGGAGATTCAGAGCATTTCTGAGAAGATCTACAGGGCAGACACCAACAAAGCCCAGAAGGAAGATATCATTCTCAATAGCCAAAACTGCATCTCCCCGTCAGAGACCAGAGACCAAAGGGATCGCTGCCCAAAGCCGTGAGTTCCCGTAGTTCCTCTTCCTACCCCCCAAATCTCGCCCCCATCCTTGCTTCTTTTGATGCCTTAGCTCTTTTATCCTCAAGTCAGGCAGGATCAAAGGGAGAGCAGAAAAAAAAATAGGTCTCTAGAGACAAAGCCATCTTGAGCGACTGTGGATATCCAGTTGGGAGGGTTTCTGTGATTAGCCAGGTTGAGGATAGAACAGCTCTTCCAAAACATGAGGTGGAAGAAAAGTGACCTGACTGTGGCTTTCAAGAGTACCCAAAGTGCCCCCTCGGCTCCTGAAGCCAGCCCTCGCCTGCCTGCCCCTGGCCTGTCTAGAAGTCTCTGGAGGGGTTGCTGCCCCGTGTTTGGGGCTCTCAGTGGGTTTCCCTCTGCCTCCCCCAGACTCTTCACTTATGTCAATGAGAAGCTGTTCTCCAAGCCCACCTATGCAGCCTTCATCAACCTCCTCAACAACTACCAGCGGGCGACAGGTCATGGGGAGCACTTCAGTGCCCAGGAGCTGGCTGAACAGGATGCCTTCCTCAGAGAGATCATGAAGACGGCAGTCATGAAGGAGCTCTACAGCTTCCTCCATCACCAGAGTGAGTGAGCACCCCCAGGCCCCAGGGTGCATGAGTCTGTCTGAAGGGAGCCAGGCGGGTGGGGGAGGGGAAGGTTAGGAGGGCAGGTGAGGAGGCGGTGGGGACTCTGTGGAGGTCAGTGTACATCTGGGAGGGATGAGGGATGAGGCCAGGGGGAAGCCAAGGAGAGGTTAGGAACCCAACCAGGAGCTGACACATCCTCTGGCTGGCTGGCTTGGAAATCACCCCACCTTTGACTTCATGTTAACTGCCTCATGCATGCCCACCCTTTGCTACAGTCTCAGGGTTCTCTGCTGGGCATGAGCCTCCCCTCACATCCCAACCCCACCCAGGGCATGTCTCAGTCACCTCTGCGATCCAGGAGTTAGCGCCATGTTTCAGACAGGTAGAGTCACTGACTCTACTCCCTCCTCCCGCACTAAAGTCCAGGAATCGGGTTGGCTGAGTCCACCTTTTGGCTGGGGAAACAGCATCAGAAAATCAACAAAGGTTCAGAGAGGGAAGTCCTATCGGGAAGAGTTGTGGTTGGAAAGCCTCCAGATAGAGACACATTAGAGTCAGACCAAAAAAGATTTTGGCCGCAGGACTTCTTGGCATGGGGTTGTGTTTGTTAGTGTTCTGCAGATTCCTTTCCCAAACTCCAGGCAGCTGGGCTTTGTCTGAGGGGTGGCTCTGTCTGGGTCTTCCCTCGTTGTCCCTGAGAGTGCCTTGGCTCAGAGCTGCTGCCTCCCTTAAGAGTTGGTGACACTGTTTTTAGGTAAAGTGACAGTGACACAGGAGTGACTCTATGAAGAAGTTGCAATCCTGTGCTGCCCCCTGGCGTTCTCTTTGTAGTAAATACACAAGATAATCTTGGAGGTCTAGACTGAGCAAGGGCTTTTCAAATGAGAGAAATGGAGGCCAGACAGGCTAGACTTATCTGAGGACACAAATGAGTTGGAAGCAGAGCTGGGGCTGGAACTCAGGGTTCCGATGCCAAGGCCAGGCTGTCCCGTTACTCACTCTCTCCTCGCCTCTCTCCTTGTCCAAATCCCACTTATCCTTAAAGTTCTATAATAGTTCATATCCCACCACATTTGTGAAGGCTGCACCTGCCCCAGCTCACTCCGGCTTTCGGCACCTCTGCAGAGTTTGGAGTGTGGTCCACAATAGCCTTGGGTCAGAGAGACTTGGTTTAAATCTTGGCTCTGCCACTTGCTAGTGACTTGACCCTGGGCAATTTATTTGATCTCTCTGGGGCTTCCCTTTGAAATGGGGTTTTTGAGGATGACTGCTTATAAAGCACCCAGTAGAAAGCCTGGCACTCAGTCCGCGCTCAGTAAGGGTAGCTATTCAGTGTGTGAAGCCATTCTCTGTTATTTTTTGTATATTTAGTCTTGTTTTCCAAATGTGTTTCAAGTCCTTGAAAGGAAGGAATATGTCTGGTATTTCTTTTGTATTCACTGTACAAAATTGTGGGCAGTGAACAGTCAATCTTTGATGGTTCCCTCATTGAAATCTCCAGCCCTGAACTTTCCCAAGGGCCTTTTCAACAACTCCACTTAGCTATCTAACTGATATTCACACAGAACTTAGTGTAGAAAGAATTTTTGGTTCCCATCTCTTCCTCCTTACCTGCTCCTCTCTGGGTCTTCCCCATTTCATAAATGGCAACATAACCCATCCGGTTGCTCAGGCCAAAAGCCTAGTAGTTAGATTTAATTGTTCTCTTTACCTCAAAGTTCCCTACTCCCATCTCCTCCATCAGTAAAGTAATGTCCATCACTCCACTTCAAAATATGTCCTGGGCCTACTGCTTCTCTCTCCTCCTCCGGAGTTAATACCACTATCTAAGCCCCATCAACTTCTTACGTGGACAAAGCATGAGCCTCAAAACTAGTCTCTCTGCTTCCACTCATACCACCCCATTGCCTTTTTAACATACACAGTCAGAGTGATCTTTGAAATGCTCCTATCATACAATTCTCCTGCTTAAAATCCTTCAGTGGCTCTGCACTACCAAGAAGCTATAGAGTTGTTAAAGAGATTGGTCTCTGGAGCTAGACTGCGTGGACTCAAGCACTGTCTCCACCTGTCATTAACTGTGATCTTGCATGAGTTTCATACTTTGTCTATCTCAGTTTCTTCATTTCTAAGTTGGGGATAATTAGTATCAACCTTATGTGAAGATTCAATGTGAGGATTCAGTGTTACATTGAAAGCACTTAAAATGGCACTAAATGGACAGAAAACAATTAGTAAATCTAAAATATTTTTTGTTTTATTTCTATTTGCCTGAGATCTGGCCTTCTTGCCATGGCTTGAAGGATCTGACCCCTGGCTGCTTCTCAAACCTCCTCTCCTACCACTCTCCTCTCCTGCTCCACCCTCACTGACTTCTTTTGGTTCTTTGAACAGCAAACTCAAGTCTGTCTAGAGCCTTTGCTCTTGCAGTTCCCTCTACATAGAATAATCTTCCCCCCAGTTCTTCTTCTTTGTGTAGCCAGTTCCTTATCCTTCAGCTCTCTGACAAGTACTACCTTCTCACAGAGGCCTTTCTGTTCTTCCTTTCTAGAAGACTCCCCCCTGCCTCCTGCTCCCAATGTGCCAGCCCTTTCCCGTCAGTACGGGCTACTCTGCTTCATAGCACCGATTTGAAATCATATTTCTTATTGTTTATTTGTTTATTATTTGACTCCTCCACTGGAATGTAATATAGATAGAGACTATGTCCTCGTTATTCTCAGCTGAATCCTCAGCCTTTAGATCTGGACCTGGCACAAAATAGGCATCCCATAGATAATCATTGAATAAACAGCTGAACACATTTGTTGATTGAACCCCCATGTTTCTTGACGTGTGGAACAAGTAGCTCTTTAGGTCTCTGTTTAGCGCTCCCAGGACCTGGCCCTGCCTCCCCTCTCCAAAACCCTCTGTGTTCCTCTCTGTAGATCGCTATGGCTCAGAACAAGAGTTCATCAATGACTTGAAGAACATGTGGTTTGGGCTCTATTCAAGAGGCAATGAAGAGGGGGACTCGAGTGGCTTTGAACATGTCTTCTCAGGTGGGAGCACTTTTCTTGGAAAGAAAGAGTTGGAGGGATGAAGAGGAATGGTTTTGCTCAGGAGCAGGGCAGCCCTGGTTATGGATTAATCAGCAGTCCAGCCAGCTAGCATGGAGGGACCCGTGCACTCTCCCCCAACCCAGATGGCCGGGGGAGGGGGGGTGTCTGAGGAGCCATTCTGAGAAACAGTCTTTTCTGGAGTACCTAAGGGGGAAAAAAGACCAGATGCTGGGGCTCCCCAGGGGGCACATCTAGGACAAGACACGTGTCTGGGAGCAAGTTTGCCTACCTCTGAACAGTCCTTTGCTTCCAGAGCCTGGCCAGCTGCTTCCCAAGAGGGCCATGGTCTGTTCCCTCCTGTTCTACCCCATAAAACTCCCACCAAGCCTGGCTTGCTGCTGGAGTAATGGCTGAGAGAGGTCATCGGGATCACCAGAAGGAAGGATTCTCCCAAGGGCTTAAGCCAGAAGGGGTGCCTTCCTGAGGTGAGAGATAGGACTGTGAGAGACTCTGGGGGCTCAGAGCAAGGGGCCAAGCAGCTAGAAGTCAGAGACTGGAGAAGGGGGAAGCCTTGGCATGGGGTGGAGAAAGGGGATTGGAGGAGAGGGTGGGGAAGGAGCCCAGATTATCCATCTTGGACTCTTTATTATAGGTGAGGTCAAAAAAGGCAAGGTCACTGGCTTCCATAACTGGATCCGCTTCTACCTGGAGGAGAAGGAGGGTCTGGTTGACTATTACAGTCACGTCTACGATGGGCCTGTGAGTACACGACCTGGAAAAGCCTTGTCAGCGCCCAGATGTCCTGCTCTCACTCTGCATTCCAGTCAGACTTGTCTCTCAGCCTGACTCTCATGGGGCAACCCCAGGCAATTGTGACTATGACGTCCTCACCTGCTGGACAGCCAGTTTAGCCAGCCAGGACACTGGAATTCCCTTCCAAACAGTGAAGGCTTAACTGCAAGGGACAGGAGGCAGGAGGCACCATATTTGGGTGGGAGCCTGGAGCCTGGGGAGGATTCTCAGAGGGAAGAACAAAGATATGCAATTACTCCCTGCCTCAGCTTCCTTAGAATGTGGCTGAAAATTTCAGCCTGGCTAGTCTGAGCTAAACTTCATACACTTTATAAGACAGAAACCTTTGCTGCCCGGTACCAGGAAATAATTTGGGGGTAGTAAACTATCCTTCTCTTCCATGTGTGAGGGCCATTGGGAATAGTGATGTCCTTGATACCCAGAGATGGATCCTATGGAGAGTGATTTTGGCCTTCCTGGTAGATGTGCACTAGCAGCTCCAGGCAGAGGGTCTGGGTGGGCTCAGACACCTTAGCAAGGCAGACTGGCTCCTCTATTTAAAGAATCCAGTCTCCCTGGAAGGTTCACACAGGCCCCTAATGGACCCTCAACAAATACTGTCTGACTGTTGCCATTGGGCACCTGTTCTACTCCACTCTGTGGCACTCACCAGACCCCCTTTCCTGCCCTTCCCTCCACAGTGGGATTCTTACCCGGACGTACTGGCAATGCAGTTCAACTGGGACGGCTACTATAAGGAAGTGGGCTCCGCTTTCATCGGCAGCAGCCCTGAGTTTGAGTTTGCACTCTACTCCCTGTGCTTCATCGCCAGGCCAGGCAAAGTGTAAGGACGGGGCCAGCGAGGCCTGGGGAGCAGGCTGGGGCTGCAGGCTGTCCTCAGCCAGCACAGAGTCAAGAGACCTGGACTCTGCCACAAAGAGGCTGAGAGGGTTTGGACAAATCTGTGCTTTGGGCCTCAGTTCTCTTGCTTGAACAATTAAGTTTCTGGATTGGTTTGGTGGCTGCCAAACTTCATCTTAGCAGCAAAACTATCTCCCCTCATCCCCTCAAAGTGAAATCTTACATAGGACCTTAATATATGAAATAGAAATGGAGTTGTCCTGGGGCTCTCAGCCTCTTTATTTGTGCCCTGAGGCTACTGAGGGGAACCTAGAGCCCCAGAAAGTACCACTAGGAACCACGGGGCCTCATGTTCTCTAACATTCGGACACATTAAGTTCTCCCACTTCTGAAACCCTAAGCAAACATTTAATTTCTGAGGATTTCACCTCTAGAATCTGGGATTTTGGAATACTGCTCTGGGAAAGATGAGGAACAGCATTCTTTAAGAAGACAAGAAATAAGGCAAAGATTTTGAAATGGCTCCTTGCACATGGGGAGCTGGAGGCAGCTGCTGAAGAAAGCAGTGCCAGCTCTGTCTTTCAGGCTGTTTAAGCAGAACGGAGCCCTTCTGCTTAGGTTGGGCTTGATCCTTCCAGTCCAGGGAGAGGCAGGGTGAAGTGGGGAGCCCCTCTGATTTCAGGATCTTTCCCCACAGGTGCCAGTTAAGCCTGGGAGGATATCCCTTAGCCGTCCGGACATATACCTGGGACAAGTCCACCTACGGGAATGGCAAGAAGTACATCGCCACAGCCTACATAGTGTCTTCCGCGTAATAGAACTTTGAGCCAGAAAGGGGTATGAGGGCTCTTGCAAGACTGAAGTGCTATCTTCTCTGGACTAGAGAGAAGAGGGAGGGGACTGGGAGTGATCACCAAATCTCAAAGCAATGAGAAGCATTCCTAAATCCCAAAGTGCCCACATGGGAAAGAGATAAAATGTACAAATTAGAAAAATTGGATAAACAGTCAAACCTTTATCCTCTAGAATTTTGGCAATGTAGACTAAGAAACAGAGTCCAGGCAGAGAAGGTAGGAGCCCTCCATAGCTCTCTGCCCTGATGTGTGGGGGAACTAGGAAGAAGTCCTTTGACCTCTTCAGGCCTCATGCTTCCCTTTAATGTAAAGGGAAGGGGTTTCCCCACTTCCCTCTTTTTGGGGTTGGTGAAAGGGCAAGCCCTGATATTTTTACTGTGATGGTATTTTCAATTGTTCTTAGGAAGAACAGCTGATAGAAATTCAAGATTACTATAATGGCTGTTATTATACACAGCTCTGTAAACTACAACTCAGCCCTGTGTTGCGATCCTCAAAGAAGTAAGGCCACAGTAATCAAGCAAGGGCCTTTGGTTTTTTCCAGCGTTAGATCCTCTCAGAACAGAGTCTGGGAGAACTCCAATGCTGAATGCAGAAGGGTAATAGGTTGGTGCAGTGAATGGGCTGAGGGTGGGGTGGCCTTCTCCAGGCCTGAGTGTTTTTGTGTCCAGCTCAGTATCTGCATCAAGAAGTTTCCCACTTGTGGATGTTTAGTGCAGCCACAGGCTTGTATTTTGATCCCCAATGTTTTTTTTGAAAGAGTTCTCCTCATAGGAGGAAGATTCAGCATCAGAAAAAGAAGGAACCCACAGCTTGGTGTCATTAACATAATTATTTTAAGTCTTATCCAGCAGGCATAATTTGAGTAACTCTAGGAGACCAGAGAGACTGTGGTTCCCTATTTTAACCTCAATTATGTATTTGTCCCCCAACCCCACTGAGAACTAAATGCTGTACCACAGAGCCGGGTGTGAACTACAGTTTAGAAGGTTCAAGTTTCCAATTAAAGTCATGGAAGAAAACTTGAAATGAGTGTCTTCTTTGTATATGGCCTCCCTCCACTGTCTGTCTCCCTGCCTTTTCCCTGGAGCAGGGCTGGGAATGATACTTTTGCTCTAGCGTTTTTTCAGAATGGCTTGAAGAATGCGGTATCTGGGTGAAGTCCCTGTTGACTCACTAAGTCTCTCTAGCCAAGAGGGGAAGAGAATTCTGTAATATGAAGAGTGGAAGGAGCATTGCATACAGATAATGAGGCGGGGGGGGGGGGGTAAATGGAGATTGGTGGTTCCCATCCCCAATAACCAGTTCCCTTGATCACATACACAGGAGTATAAGGACATTTCTGGATGTAGCTTCTGTGGTTGCAGAGGTTGACTACAGTGGGGGAAGAGGAGATACTAAAGAGATACAGAAAAAGACTTCTTATCTGTAAGCAGATTGCTCAAGCCACAATGCTAGAAAATAGTCAGATATGAAGGGATACCTCTGGCAAGTTTATAGACTGCAGATGGATGAAACAGGGCTGTGTCCTGCCCTTTCCCAGGGATGTTCACAGTCAACAGGCAAGACAGTGAGTCAGCAGAGCACAGGGGTAACAGGTACAGGCTCTGAAGTCATGTTGCCCAGGTACCTAGCCAGGCTCTGTTGCTTACTGGCCATATGAGCAAATTTCTTAATTATTCAGATTGTTTCCTCATCAGTCAAATGGGGATAATATTACCATTGTTGTGAGATAAGGAATGTGAAATAACATGCTAGTCTTTCTTATAGTAATAATTGTCTCACTTATGATACAGATTTAATTTTATACTGGGAGAGGCAATTTACTATCCCTGCTATCAGCCTTAACCTTCACCTACTGGTGCCCAGTACTTGTGCTCTTCATAGGCCTCTTCAGGTCTTCCAGGTAGTCCAGTAGGAGACAGAAAGACAGAAATGTAGGAGAGAGTACTGTATTCCAGGGTCTGGGCCTTAGCTTTGCAGGAGAGAAGGGTAAGAACTAACATTTGTTAAGCTGTTACCATGTCCCAAGCTGTGCTAACTAGTCGTTTTATATTCATTTTCTCAATCTGGTGGGTATTTTTATCTTCACCACTTTAATTTTACCTAGACAACTGAGGCTCAGATTAAGTCACATTCTTAGTCAGTAGCAGAATCAGGATTGCAAATTCAACCCTTTTCCTTATGTTGTAGTGAGCCTGGATTTCTAGTAGTATCTACTCACTTATTCATTCATTATTTTTTAAATAATATTTATTAAGACCCCTTACAGAGGCTGCTGGTTACCCCTCAGTGTCTGCTCTCCTCTTCTTCCTTATTCATTGAACTCTTAGTTTTTAGGTACACAAATGACTGTCAAGAGTACAGACTCTTGACCTCCCTTGCAACTGGAAGTAGGCGTGTGTCTATGTCCTCACCAATGGCATGCAAAAGGAAGTATTCTTAATGGGCAGGGGGTACCGTTATTCCCACTCTTGCCCTTTGCTGCTGATGGGATTTCAGACAAGATCGTGGGAGCTTGAGCAGCCAGCTTGAACCATGAATGAAAGCCATGTGCTGAAGATCACAGAGCAGCCAGGAAGGAGCCTGGGTCTCACACTGGAACTGTCGCACTAGTCCTAGATTGCTTATATTCAGTCTTATATGAAAGAGAAATAATCTTTCATGTTTAAGCCACTCTTATTTTGGGCTTTCTGACACATGCAACCAAACTTAACATAGTATCTCCATAACAGGAAGTTCCAAGGTTCATTTTCTTCCTAAAGTTACTTAGCTAATACTTCCTTTCTTAAGATTTACATTAACTGTCAGACTCTTTAACTATTTGAAAGATCCCAATAATTGTTTTGGATATTAAAATTAACAGCATTTACAATAATTAATTGCCGCATTTTAATGTTGCAATAATAAACACTCCTGTTTATTTCCACTGACCATTACAATTTCAACATATAAAATACATAAAGAGGTTTGTCTCTTTGAAAATAACTATTCAGGTATTAATGGTAAGTTCAATTGAGATGACTGGAGTAGATGAATAAAAGAGACATAAAAGAAAGGCATGATTTACACATTTTGTTGAAATCCATTTGAAGATAACTGCCAATAGAAGTGGGGAGGTCTGCATGGAATCTAGGAAAGAACTTAAGGTGGCCTAGGTCTGAGTTCACAGCAGAGAAGGCTGCCATTGCAGGCACAGGTTTTGTGGGACAGCAAGAGCCTCAGAATTAGGTGATGATGACCATCAAAACCATTTGATTAACTTTTCTCACTTTGACTCTATATTCATTAAGCTACCTCTGATTATTATGTGGTTTGACAGAGAAAAAGAGAGAGAGAAAAGAGGGGTCACCTAAGGGTCTATGAGGTTTTACCAGAGTAGCCAGCTAGCTCCCTTATCTCTCAACTCAATCAACTCTGCCAGAATTAACAAACCAAATGTGGTTGCTTTTGTTAAAAACACCAATCAATCAATATTTGTTTTTAAATACTTAACAAAAAAATTCTTAAAAAGTTCTCTATCTCCCTAATACAACCAAAGAATAATTTCATTAGTAAATATTTTGACGTACACTTAATGATTTGACTACCATGATTTTAAAATACAAAGATACCAATAATTAAACAATGGGAAGGATGTGCTAATGAGATGACCTTGTAAGAGAGGACCCCAGCCTAGTTCTTCATTGATTAGCGCCTGCGTTAGTGGCTTACAGCTTCAAATGCACAGCTGTATCCTATGCTTTAAAAAATTCTGATTGGCTTCACTCAAGACTAGTTACATCAGAATCTCTGGGATACGACCAGAAATCAGTATATATACTTATACACACACACACTCACATGTATATATATATACACTCCCTAAGTGATTCCAAAGTTCAGTCAAGACTGAGAACCACCGATCTGGATTTTGAGAATAATATTTGAGGTTACAGTCCTGTTTTAAATGAAAAGTTTCATTTGTTTGTGTTTGCTTTTGTGGACTTCTGCAGTTATTTTTGTTTTGCTTTCGTTTAAGAGTTGTCATTGCAAGGATGACTCCCTCACACGGGAAGCAGAAGCAAAAAGTGTTAAAAGTTTCGTTCTTTTTTCTTTGATAAGCCAGGGCATATCTAAAGACAGAGTGTAACATTGGCACATGTCAAAGACAGACTCAGAGATAGATTCACTCAGAAAAGGAGTTTACTTGCAAAAGATGCAAGGGAGTTAGACGGAAGGACTAGTTTGCCAAATACCAGTACTTCAAGAAAAACAAAAATACCCTAAAATTACCAGGATTACCAGTTGACAGTAGTCTGTTCATGGTGGAAAAACAGTAACTTTCTCACATGGTTATACTCACAAAGGTCAGACAAATCGTTAGACATTAGCAAGGTAAATATTAGAGTTTAAACTGTTTGAAGGGAGTCCAACGAAATAGTCAAGGTTTTATTGTTTTGGAGATCAGAAAATCAGGATGACCCTGCAGTTTTTGGGTTATCCCCTATTAAGTTTAGTCATATTGGAAGGAGGCAGAAGGCTCAGATATTGCTTTTACATACCCTCAAGCCACCAAGCTGGTTCCATCCTGAGAAGGAAATCACGAAGCTTACTTCCTGCGCGCGCTCAAGCCCAGGCTAAAAGGGGCGGGGCGAGGCCGCGGGGACTTGTGGGAAAGCGCAGGAGGCGGGGCTCTGCGTGAGTCACTGCGGGGCTGACTGGGCTGCAGTGCGGCGGGTTACGGCCTGGTCAGGTGAGCGGGCGTTGCGGTCCTCGCTGCCCGGAGCAGCGTAGGAAATCCTTGGGGTGGCAGGTGGGAGGAGAGGTAGCGGTTATGGGTAGCGGTGAGGCGGGGCGGGCTAGGGCTAGCGGTGGAGGCTCACGTTGAGGCGGCGCGTTGGTGTCCAGGGTAGCGGCGTCCCGGGGTGCGCGTTCCCGGAGCGGCTCGCCGTGGCAACACGGGCCTACGCGCTCTGCTTTGCGGACGGACCCTCTACCCTGCTGCCCGGGGTATTGGGAGATTTGCAGTGCTCGGGAAGGCAGAGCCGCCCTCCCGCAAAGACGGCGGTGGGACCCGCCCCCTTGCGGCGTGGGTGTGCGGCGTTCGCCCGGACAGCGCGTGTGAAAGTGATACCCCAAGCGCTGGAAGTTTCTGATTGCTGGCTCGCACCCCTGCCCCATCGCAGGGTCCCTGGGAGAGTTTTTGGGCCTGTTCGAGCAGCAGCGGTGATGGGTGAAATGGAAAAGCATCTAGCACCCGTCAGTATCTGACTGACTTGTTGCGCTTTTATTCATTTATTTGAGTCCCCAACAAAGCGTTGTACCAGTTTTGGTTTTGAATGAGATGTACATGTATGATCCAACATGGACACTGCCTGAAAGAAGCTTAAACCTAATTTAGTTGTTGAGGCTACGGGTCAGAAGACCTATCTGCATCTGCAGCTGTCCCTTCTTAGTGAGATATTTTTCACTGTCTTAAACAAATATTTTTCTAATTCCGTCTATCTCCCTCCCACCTTCTCTCCCCTCTCCCTCAAGCTTTGAATCTTCTTCCACCTTTTTGGAGACTTTGCCCCATCACTCATCCTTTTTCCTGTATCTTTTACTTTGTTCCTCTTCCCCCAGACTATGCTCAAGAACAAGTCTTACATTATCAAAGGCAAATGTACTCTAATTTCATTTGCTTAACTCATTTCATTCCCCCATCCTTTTTTTTTTTTTGTCCAAGGCTGGAGTGCTCTGAGGCCATCACCGCCCACTGTAGCCTCCATCTTCCGATCCTCCCACCTCAGCCTCCTGAGTATCTGGAACTATAGGCACCCGCCACCACACCTGACTGATTTTTGTATTTTTGGTAGAGACGGGGATCTCGAAGTGTTGCCCAGGCTGATCTCGAACTCTTGAGCACAAGCTATTCCCCCTGCCCCCCAACCTTTGCCTCCCAAAGTGCCGAGATTACAGGCATGAGCCACAGCTGTTGGCCTTCTGCCCTTTAAAAAAAAATCTCAATGAAACTCTGAATAGAGGTCAGGCGTGGTGTCTCACGCCTGTAATCCCAGCACTTTGGAAGGCCGAGGTGGGCGGATCACTTGAGGTCATGAGTTCCAGACCAGCCTGGCCAACATGGTAAAACCCCGTCTTTACTGAAAAAAAAAATACAAAAATTGGCCGGGCATGGTGGCCTACACCTGTAATCCCAGCTACTCGGGAGGCTGAGGCAGGAGAATCACTTGAACCTAGGAGGTGGAGGTTGCAGTGAGCTGAGTTCGTGCCACTGCACTCCAGCCTCAGCGACAGAGCGAGACTCTGTCTTAAAAAAACAAAAACAAAACAAACAAAAAAACCCCAGCAACTCTGAATAGTCTTTATATGACTAAACGTAATGCACTTTCTTTCCCTCTATGTATTCTCCATGCCATTTGGCACTGCTAACCTCTCTCACTTTCTTGAACTCATTTTTTGTCTTCTGTGACAGTACACTCTAGGTTTTCGTCCCAGCTGCCTAGGTGCTGCTGCCTACTTTTTTCTTCCTTGGCATCTCTTCCTCCGTTTAGTGTTCTCCAGGTTCACTCCATTCCCAGTTGTCACAATGGTTAAACATGGCCACATCCTTGATTCTAGCTTCTACCTTTATGCTAGTGACACTGGCATTTATCTCTAGTCCTATATAGCTACCTATGGAATATCTCCTCGCCCCATTAGCATATCCCAAACAAATTCAGCATATCCCAAACAAATAATCTGACTTTGTTTGCCCTCCAACTGACCCCTCTTTTCCTTTTAGCATTGTATTTCTTGACTCAAAATGGCATCAGTAATCTTACCAGGCTCCCAAGCCAGAAATCTAGGCCTCTGTTTGAGTCTTTCTGTGTTCTCCAACACCTCAGTCTAATCAGTCATCAAGTTCTTTTTATTTTACTACCTTGATATTTTCATATAACTTTCAGAATATAGGTTTTACCTCATGGCCTGCCATTTCAAGTCTGTCCCGTGTCCACCTCTTTAATCTTCTCTTTCTTCATTCTCCCTTGTAATTCCTCACTCTGCCTGCCCTCTCCTCCCTGTTAGTCACTTGGTGGGCCCCTTTTAAATCCAGCTAAGTTCCAACACCTCTGGGGACTCCTTCCTTGACTCTACCACCCTACCATCTGATCCATGCCTATTTTTTTGCAGTCAGTTCCGTAGCCTCTGTATGTACCTCTCACACAGGGTTCTCAACCAGGGGTTATTTTTACCTCTCAGGGAACATTTGGCAGTGTCTGGGATTCTTCGTTGTCACAGTCCATGAGGGGAAGGGATGATCCTGGCACCTAGTTGGTAGAGGACAGAAACGTTGCCAACCATCCTACAGTGCACAGGACAGCACTCTTACAACAACTTTTTTGGCCCAAAATGTCAGTGGTCCCAAGGTTGAGAAACCCTGCCTAACGTATTTTGTTACTGGTACTTTATATATTTTTTTCTTCTCTGCTACCCAAGGGACCTCTTGTTTTTGCATCCCTAAATCTTGATTCAGGGCCTTTCACATAGAAGAAGTTAAATGTTGGAAGAAAAAGAAATAAAGGAGGTAAGTGCTCAACTCCAGAGATGAGCAGCCTGTCTGCTACCACAGGCTGCTTGATAATTTCAGTGATTTTTCTCCCAATTACCTTTCTTTAATGTTGCCTTTCAAGGATGCTCAAACTTGTCTATTTTTCATTTGTTTATTCAGCAACTGATTTATTTTTAAAATATTATATTGAATTTTTTTTGTTCAGCATCAGTTGGCTCTCTTCTGTCCAGGTATCTTGGCCACTTATGAAGTGGTAAAAAATAATTAGCTTTCAGAAAAATAAACCAAATAGGCCTATTCTTATCAGAGGTTGGTTGTTCAAAACTCTGCAGGCCATAATGACTTCAGCAAATAAAGCAATCGAATTACAACTACAAGTGAAACAAAATGCGGAAGAATTACAAGACTTTATGAGGGATTTAGAAAACTGGGAAAAAGACATTAAACAAAAGGATATGGAACTAAGAAGACAGAATGGTGTTCCTGAAGAGGTAAATTAAGAATTCTTAATTAAGATCCACCAAAACTGTTTTTATAAAAATAAAGCATAACTTTTAAAAATGTTTTGTGAAAATACTGAAATTGAAGTGATTTGCTTCACTGTCAATTTGTTTTTTCTTTTTATTTGTTTTTTTCTTTGCAATGGAGTCTCGCTGTGTCACCAGACTGGAGTGCAGTGGCGCGATCTCGGCTCACTGCAACCTCCACCTCTCGGGTTCAGGCAATTCTCCTGCCTCAGCCTCCTGAGTAACTGGGACTACAGGTGCGCATCACCATGCCCAGCTACTTTTTGTATTTTTTTTTTTAGTAGAGACAGGGTTTCATCATGTTGGCCAGTATGGTCTTAATCTCTTGACCTCAAGTGATCCGCCCACCTCAGCCTCCGGAAATGCTGGGATTACAGGCGTGAGCCACTGTGCCCGGCTCACCGTCAATGTTTTTAGAAATTCTGCTTTTCAAAAAGTCTTTGAAGTCTTTTACTCACAACTTTGTGTTTTTTTTTTTCCCTCCTCAGAATTTACCTCCTATTCGAAATGGGAATTTTAGGAAAAAGAAGAAAGGCAAAGCTAAAGAGCCTTCCAAAAAAACCAAAGAGGAAAACACAAAAAACAGGATAAAATCTTATGATTATGAGGCATGGGCAAAACTTGATGTGGTAAGTTAATCTAGTTGTTTGCTTCTTACTATTTGAGTGAAAGTTTCTGGGAGTTAGCTGATAGTCATGGGTTAAGTGAAGAAGAATGTAGGGTTATGGCCTGTGTCTTTCTCTTATACATGATTTTATGTGGAATAAACATTTAATTACATAGCTCTTTAATGAGATAATTTTTTTTCCTGCAATCCTCCTTCAGCGAATTGTGGCTAAAACAGCCAGGATTTTATTCTTTTTTTTTTCTTTTTACAAAAATTACTATTTATTTATTTATTACTATTTATTTATCCAGCGTACTCTTCATCCAGTTTCCTCTGGTGGTTACATCTTTCTTAGCTGTAGTATACAGTATCAAAACTAGGAATTGACATTGGTATAGTGTGTGTATGGTTCTATATTATTTTATCCTACGTGTAGGTTTGGATAACCCAACCGCAATTAAGATGCAGATATATGGCATCACCACAAAGATTCCCTTTGTGCCATCCCTTTATAGTCATACTGCTCCCCTCTTCGCCACCTTCTCTAACCCCTAAACAGCCAGAATTCTAAGATACTCCCAGAAAAGAAAGACTGTGCAGATGTCTTTGTTGTAAACTGAAGGACCTGCAGTAATCTGTTAAAAGAGAATGCCTTTGTGTCTAGTCTTAGGACTGGGGCTGTGTAACAATAAACATTGGCCTATCTTGATCCCAGGAAGTTGGGCTTCTTTACCCTTCTAGACTGGGATAGCAGATGTGTGTCCTCCCATCTCCCACATGTGATACACAACATACTTGGAGAATCACCACCAGTGCTCTGCCTTACAACCCTTTACCAGTGTTTCAAGCAGCCACTTTCGTGTCAGCCTGTGAAAGAGAACCTGTTGGCCAGCACTATTCTGCACTCTGATCTACTTTAAGGGTTGATTTGGTTAGGGGTGTGTTAGGGGATGTGATAACCA